TAATATAATATAATATAATATAATATAATATAATATAATATAATATAAATATAAGTAAAAGTATAAGCAATCTTTTAAGTAACTTTCTGCGTCTAAAATTTCAATTTTCCAAATGAAAATAGTAAACTGCAAGTTTATACATTTTGTGAGATCTTTGATGGATTACTTAATCCTAAAAAAGGCATTACATATACCGTCATTTATAATTTTCCGCTAAATTAATTTTAGAGGCTTCACAGTGTAAAGAGGAATCTACTTCGTCATTAAATATTCAGAAAAAAGTAAATTATCAAAAAACTTCAACTTACTTTTGCTCAAATCAAATAAAAAATTAAAGTGCTTTTTTCGGCCACAAACAAATTATTACTTCTAATATTATACAAATATCGTAAATCGAAAAAGTTAGTTAATATTGAAATTAATTTAATGAAATGAAAGCAATATTAAAAGTATAAAATGAAGCTAAAAACTACTCAAAATATTAAAGTATGATTGTGAGAAATATTTTAATTAAATATGAATGCCACATTCATCATTGATTCTGAAATTATAAATAATTAGTGAGGGCTTTGAAAAATTAATATAATAACACGAGAATTTTTTAGCTAATCATTTATTCTCTGAAATATATCCAAACCAAAAAATCAATAGCAAATGACTTAATAAAAATTATTGATGACGGATAAACGCACGATATTTATGATAATATTATGAAAAAGTAACAAACAGTGATGATATCAGCCCCAACACAAGCAATAATAACTACATTTTATGATACTACAAAGATTAAAAGCAGCATTAACAATAAAAGTGATAATAATAATAATAACAATAATAATAATAATAATAATAACAATAATAATAATAATAATGCTCAGCAAAAAATAAATGATTAGTAATGATAATATAAGAAAAAGATGGAAGAATCCATCAGTTATCCTCTATACCAATGAAATTTGTTTTTCGCATAATAAATTAAGATGTCATTAAAAGTAAATATCGCACTGAGTTTAGCAGTCAAAAAAGTAAAAATGTTTTCTTGCAAATGACTTTCTCCAGCTTGTTATTTGCCTGCCATGTCTTACCAGTATAAATGTGAAAACAATCTGAAAGAGACATTTAATTGCTGCAACAGTTGTATGTGTATTCGATAACAAATAGTATTAACTCTGATATGTTACTGGACAGAATTCAACTCCTAAAAGCAAGCGTAGACTTCAAAGGCTTGATTCTTCATATCAAATATTTGAATAATATGGAACAAATCATATTAACTGTTTGGTACATTAATATTAAATGTATGGTATATTAATGATATAAAATGAACTGTATACAGTATTTAAAAAGTTTGTGATATACTACTGAGACTAATTACAAAAGTATTATAGTACTTCGATTAATTCAAGTGAAATTTAAAATTTAACTGCTTACTGCGCACAAAGAAGTGCTGTGTAGCAAACAGTAATTCCCTTCACAACAGTTCAGTAAGTGCTCGTTTTCTTTTGAAAGGAAAAGGAAGGAGAAAAAGATGTAGAACGCAGTAAATACTGTAATGGGAAGAAGAGATCGGAGAACAATATCAAAAATTTGAACAGTAAGGAGCAATCATATCAGAAGTATAAGTGAAAAGTTAATTACAAACATAATAAAATTTTAGGAAAAAATGTTTAAAAAAATGAAAAAGTTTAAAAAAGTCCAAAAATTAAAGAAAAAAGAGGCTATGCAATAAGATGATTAATTGCATCAAAATATAATGAAGAAAAGACGTAGAAAAAATGGGCAAAAAAGACCGAATTTAGGACAGTAGTGGACAAAGTGAGAATCTTGATGTAATTACTGATGCAAGAAGAGAGATTAGTCGAAAGCTTCTTGAAAACAGAAAAAGGAATCAAAGAAGCTTTGCGAGGCTTCAGTAATTATTTAAAAAGAGCGAAAATGTTCCATGTTATTGAGTTATTATTTCAGTAGCGAGTCATGCAAAAGTAATTGTAAGAATTCTGAAGTGATGTAACAACTCAGACAACATCAGAAACTCATTTGTGAACTCATTCATCTCATGCATATTTCTCATCAAATTTTATCACTAGTTGAAAGCAAGTGCTGGTAAGATAAAATATAGAGGCACATAGTTACAGCATTATTGAGACTATAAAAAGTTGCTAATTACGAAGAAGGTTAACTATCTTTACGTTGCAAGCAATTAATTACATGCAACGATTACAACGTAACATGGATATAAAATAGTTGTTGATAACATAAGTTTCACGTAAAATATGACTTTCATTAAATTACTTTGACGAAGGAATTAAACATCATAGATGATCATGGTCAATCCATAAATTAGAAAATTGCTGAAGAGATAATCAACAAAAGATGCCTAATTTGTTCAAAATTTATATTGAAAATAACGCTGTTTGTGCTGAGGAATCAGGAAATATTGAAAGCAAAATCCAGAAGTCAGAGTAAACGAATCTGAATCATCACGAAAAATCGAAACAGATATGACATTTTTGTTACAAGAAGTCTATCGTTTTTTCTCTTCTTCCTCTCTATTAACAAAACATCGAAAATTCTATTTAGTAATAAGAGAATATTTTGATATTATTATTTATTCTCATTATTAAAGCACATGTAATTGCATAATACATGCTTACTGCTGCAAATTGTCAATGACAGAGAGATCTGATTGTAAAATCTTTTAAACTGACTTCCTTGCAGACATTCGAGAATGAATACATTAATATAAAAAAGGGCAATATTTGAGATTGAGATTAAAATTAGCTGAAAGTGAATGAAGTTGTTGCAATCATTTTGAGAAAGCAAGTAATCAAAGTGATAAATACTTTCTTGCCTTACAATTATACTGTAAGGCAAAAAATTCTTCAGGCATGAAAACTGTACTTCTCAGTATTGGCTTTCGATAATCTTTTGCGTCAAAATAATTAGCGTAATAAAATGCAACAATAAACACGAATAAAAAAAATAAAAAGCAAACATAATGGAATTTAATGAAATACTTTTATTCAAAATTTGTAAAATTAATGAAAGATAAGCAAGTAAATAAGACGTCATATACATACTTTAGATCAAATAAAAATATGAATAGTAAATGTATCAGACAATAAAATCAGAATCATACATGTATTAGAAAAATTTCAAAGTCAATAATTCATAATATGGTGATTAAAAAAATTCATTAATATACTTTCATGGAAAATAAGAGTCAAGAACATAGCAATTCTTGATTTCTTACATCAGAAATAAAGAAGTTGCAATCAGTGATTACGGGACGTAATCACAGAGTTTGTATACGTACTTGCGATGAGATTCAAAAAAAAGAAACAAAGTTACATTTCTAGCAAGTAATACTACTTAGTATTCGAGCTTCATTTTGTGTCTTTAACATTTTTTGGATACTGAAACAAATAATTGTCAAAGGATAAATGGGGTGGACTATTTTTAGTATTAAAGGAAATTCATTACTTTTTGTCCATCTATTATTATATAATATGCAGAATATTACTTACTAAAATGAATAGTAGAAGGTTAATTTTTATGCGTACAACCTTTCTTACACTAACTACAGTATGGATGAAATAACTTTTTAACAGTCATTTTTTACTGTAATCAGCTAATTTTACTTTCCGTTCAATCAATTTTGAAATTATGTCACAATTCAGTGGTAATAGTTGTTTTTGTAGATGAAATAACCAAATCGTTCTTTATACTGGAGATGCTCTTAAATTGTTGCAGATATTGTGTTTGAAAACCATAGAACTAATGAAAAATATTTTATACCGTACTTTAATGCCTATATTACAGAATAATATTTCATACCGTATTTTAATGCCTATATTACAAAAACACATTTCATACCGTATAATGCCTACTATACAAATGAGAAAAATTTACAATAAACATAGCAAGAAAGTGAATTGACGAAAAAACTGTTTTAACAGTACAGTAAGAAGAACACAGTTAAATAGCGCAGACAACTGAATAACAATATCAAAAATAGACAAATAATTTAGTGAGCATAAAAGTAATGTGATTAAATAAATATGTACGTGCTGTCGATTAAAAGTCAGTAAAGAGAATATTTCACTTCTTACGCTTCAATTATCAAGAAATTTTTACGAAAGAATTCAATTATGCAGAGATTTTTTATCAATAACTCTGACTATTACTGTTAGAAAGTTAGAATGCTAAATTACTTCCTCAATTAAAAAATATCAGTCACAAATTTATATGTAATGCGTTTTCGTGGTTCTCTAATATATGTCACATTTTACTTAGCTTTTACATTTTTTATAATGCTTCTTTTTGGATTTACAAATTACTTCAGTAATCTTAATTGCGTCAAAACAGCGTCAATTCAAACTCTACTAATTTTTTCTAGCCTACAATATTTTAAATTTACTACTACTATCGAGTTTTTCATATCAAATTCAACCATTAATAACGAATACACGTTAATTTCTTATTTTCCGTCCAATAATCGTAGCACAATGTTTTGTTGGGATTATTTGAAAAGCTGAACCAGAAGTTATTGCTTCACCATCTACAGTTACATGTCCTCCACAATTATTCAACGGCTCCACACGACATGCTCGAACTGGAATCACCTATAAATCAGTAATTAAGGACTATTAAAATCTCGTCGGTCATCAATATCAAATAAATTTGTCAATCATTTATTACTGTTCAGCAAAAATAACCATCATTTACAGTCATGGATAAATAAAACACGACCACAACATAATCAAGATTTTTTGTAAACAATTAATTATTCTTTTGAGCTCCCTGCCCCATTTTTTATATTCTTTGATTTCGATACTATTATTAATAAATAATTAATAATATTCCATTAAATAACTAAGAATGAATGATTTTAACGGAGGAAGTAATTTAGCATTCTAACAGCGCAGTAAGCCAGATTTACTTCAGTTACCACATATAAAATGTAACAAGTGGTATTTTTCATTCCAAAAATTTTTGCTACCATCAATTACATAAAAAACAAAGATAATAATAGTGATTTTAGAGAAGTAAATAACTGGTAAGCAACTTTTTAGAATGATTAAAGTTTTTAGCAATATTTTTTAAAATATACTTCTATACTGCCACCAAACTATTTGCAATTAGTTACTTTTATTGCGGTTGCAATTATCGTCACGATGAAGTATCAGCTTTTCACTCAATTTAAAAGTTGATCAAATTTTTAAAAAGCAATAGTGCAAAGCAGATTAGTTCAGTTCTATGCAATAATATAATACACTGATAATTGACTCTAAAAATGCATGTTTGAATTAGTACACAATTATTTGAAAAAATGCTTATATCGCTGTTGGAATGAACAAGTGAAGTTAATAACTGAGAAAAATTAATTCGAAACTGATTTTAAACCTTCAAGAAAGGGTAAGATAAATGCGAACAAGATTCAATACAATGAATCATCCTGCAAAATTGAAATTGTGATTTGAAATCTTTCCAATCAACAAATGTTAAATAAATGAATTCATCATTCAAACGAGCGCAAGGTAGATATGGTACATCGCTTCCTGAATACAAAAATGTGGTTGAAAAAATTCCAAAAAAATAAAAAATACTCAGAAATTGAATAAATATGCGAGAGGAAAGTATTAAAAAGTGAAAAATTTACCAAGGTGAGAAAGATTTGCTAAGCAAACGTACACAAAATAGCCTTCTAGAACAACCCAGTCACTTCCAACAGGATCCTTCAATGGAGGAACCTGTAAAATGATTAAAAAGAATTTGTTTTTTGCAATAATTACTTCGCTGAGCTATAAACTTCTTAACTTTTGCTACCAAGGTTTAAATACTAAACTAATGGATTACAAATTATTGCATTTTTAAAACAAATAATATTCTTTAAATGCTATAACTGTTGACACTGCATAGGATAATTATTTTTCCACAAATTTTATCACTATGAGGATTATTTTGCTGTATGAAAAAAAAAACCATGTAAGAATTATTTTGCAATTATCTATTCTTATTTTAAATTTTATACCACGGGTTTGTCACTTTTTATGTACATTAGATGAAAATTTTGTTATATTTTTTAAGTTTGATATTAGCGAAGAAAATTCATACTTGGACTAAATCATCATTCTTAGGCATGTTTAATACGCCATTTTCGATGTCGTTATTAATTTCGACAGATTTTGAATCAGTAAAACTTTCAATAGACTGATAATAAAAATGTTCTTTAGTGAAATTTTTATATTGCAAATTCTTTCTGAAATATAAACATACATGAAATTGAGATATTTCTATGATTATTTTGAATGAGTTATCAGATGTTATTTAGCTGCATTTTATTTACGAAGAAAACATATTAGATAATTGTAATTCAATTTTGCTTAATTAATGCAAAAAATATTTCATGTTTTTATAATACACATCTAAAAAAATCGATTTTTTAATTTAATTAAATTCTCGACAAATACGGCTGCATATATACATCTCTGGTAACAAAAAAATAGGAACATATCCTAAGACACATAACCTTAAATTAGCAAAAACTTGTGACGTATTTTTATCGTCAACGGGTAAATAAGATATTCTCGCCTGGTAATGAGCAACTTTAGGTAATTCTGGAACTCTCCATCATGAATGGCATGAAAATGCATAAAGTTATGGAAGTATTATTTCTGTTAAGTGAAAATAAATACAAGATTTAAAAAGCCAGACTTTTTCAAAAAAAAGTGCATTATTTTTTATTACTGAGGAAATTTAATTACGATGTTCTTTCCGTAAAAATTGGCAAGTCATAGAAAAATAGAAAATTACTTGTGAATCGTGAAACTGCTTCCATTTGCAACCTTATCATACCTGCCCAACGGAAACGTTCACTTTCAATATCTAAATCACGAATATTACTCAGTATGTATAATATTATTTACAATCTTGAAATTCATGCAGTTTTTGAAATATCAAAAAATAAATAAAATTTACTCAGTGAAAGATAATGTATTAGTCGTGAGTAAACAATCTTTTAACAACAATTTAAACATGAACAACAAAAAACTGCTGTTTTTATATTACATCACACAGGTGAAATTCAATGAGGCTAAAATATGCATTTAAGAACAGTATGTCCAACAAATAATGTATGTATAAATATATTCCACAATAAATCTAACCAATATCCGCAAGAAAACCCCAAGAAACTGCCAGAAACATAGCTTTGTCACCATCACATTCCGTTTCTACTCGATTAATCCGTAATGGAAGATATCGAGGTTGCACCAACATAACAGCCATCTCAGTATAGAATCCTCCACGTGGTGAAAATGGCTCACTACAATAAAAAACATCCATTTTAAGTGTCCCCATATTCAATTTTAAGTTTGTATGTAGTAATCAAGTAAACCATTGAAAGACGATTCATCAACAGATACCGTAACATTAATAATTGAAAACGAGTTAATTAATCAAAAAAAACATGCTTGATTGCAAGTGAATTGGAATCAGACATAACTTGAAGATTTACACAATATAACTTACTGGCACTGAAAACAAATGCTAGATGCTAATCCATTACTAGTACCACCAGGTATATGTACTAATGGCATTTTCAAAGCTCGCTTAAAATCTGATCTCATCAAAAAACCAGATATTATTTCTATTATCAATCCATCACCACTGATAGCAGCTATAGCATCATATTCGTCAAGTTTGAGATTCTGTGTTATTTCAACCGCATGTTTTTCTCGAGCTTTGAAATTTTTTGATAAAATTCAACTTGATATATAATCAGTTCATAAAAATAAATTAGAAAAAAAAAATTAATCTTACTGAAAAAACAGTGAGAAACAGAGAAAAAAACCTGTCAGTATTAGTTGAAAATCAATGTTTGCCATTGTCAAAGTTGGTTTGACATATTTTTGCCACAATTTAAATCCACGTTTTCGACCGCCAAATGGATTTACAAACACTAATACACGTCGGCGTGATCTCGGGAATTTATCGGGCAAATGCGCTGCAACTTCAGAAACCAGTAATAAATTTGAATGACTTTTCTAATTACTGCATTTCAAAAAACAAAAAAAAACAAATATATTCATTGATGTAATTCATGAACAAATTAACTTTTCGTAAAAATAATAATCTCAAACGCCAAAATGCATCTAATCAAAAACCATTTGAAATGTGCTAAACAAAGATGCGAAATTTTCGAAGCTTCAATTTTATTCAATTAAAAAAATAACTAAAATCAGCAACATTTTAATTTTAGCAACTTAGTTTGTTATATTATCAATTATTTTTCTAGTATAGTTGCATTTAATTACAACACCTCAGTAATTAATTTATTCTCCTGAAAATAAATCCAAAGCTAAAAGAGGATAAATAAATAAATAAATATATATATATATATATAATGATGCCTGAAGTTTGATTGAAATTCCTATTCAGTGTTTTCTATTTTCATGCGGCTTTAAAAGTAATTGTTAGCGATACCTATTTTATAAACAGTAGTTGGTCAAGAATTAAGCAAAAAATATAATTACATTGGAATGCAAAAATTAAGATTTTAACAAGGCAAAAACCAATGCCAGTAATTTGCTTTTGGAAACTAACTTCGGTGAAGATAATATTTTACGCTTTTAACAAAGTTGAAATCAAATAAAATCCTTACGTGCTTTTAACGCTGTGATTTTTTGCGTGATATATTTGTTGACATTTTCCACTTCAATTTCTTTACTGAAAGTTAATGTAACGTGAATAAAACGACGCTTTGCTTTAACAAACGCATAAGCTATCACATTTAGCTGTACGCCTGTTTTATCTGAAACATTTAATACAATTTACTACCTCTTAGATTAGAAAAATTTGCTGCAGATAAAATTCCATTTAATCAATTAAGTATTTGTATTTTAAATCACTGTATTCTCAATTCATATAATTTCTTATTAATCATCAAGTAATATCTAACACATTCTATTGCGAGTACCACTCATTCATGAAAAATTAGCAAACAAAAAATTTTTCACAAAAAATACATAAATAAATTGAATCAAACACTGCGTACAGTTAAATGAAAACGCAGCAAATGCAAATAATGTCAAAAATATCAAAAATCTTATTAAGTTTGAACAATAAGAAAAGTTTAAAATGAATTACAAATACAAAAAAGACAAATCAAAACACAAATTTGAAAAATATTTTAAAAAATTGTAAAAATAAACATACATACCATCATTCACCCTTACTTTTGATTCCACCAAATCTTCATATTTTAATTGGATAGAACGAAAATTAGCATATTCCAAGGAAATTTCATTATCGGTTTGTACGCAGGAATCTATTTTATACTGTTTTTTGTTGATTATTACGATAATATTAATATCATATACAGTATTATTAACAACATCTTTGTACAACACAGATCGAGGATCATTATTGATTTTCGATATTTGCGCACCCATTTCAACCCGTTAACTTCTATTAGCCTAGTAATTTATAATAATTAACGATGTGACAGCTTGAATTTATTAAAAATACAAAATCTCGAATTTAACAATGGAGAGGTTTAAATAAAGTGTGTCCAGATAGATAATGTTCAATTAATAATTAATTATTACGGAAAAAGTATAAATTAATGGAAACAATTATCTTTTTTTATCAGCAAGAATGTTATAAAGATTAGTGTTAAGCTTTTCTATCAATAATGAACACATCAAGCAATGATTATGAAAGAATTAATCCTTTTATAATAGTTCGTGAATTTCTTTTCGATAATTATCACTACAAAAGGCACTGCTAAGAGTAGGCAAAATAATGTAATTTTTATTATTATCTGTGCTTATGAAAAAAATTAATTTGCAGAGCATTTACAAGTAAAAGTTTATAATTGCATATTACAAAAAAAGAGATCAGTTAATAGTGTGGCCGATATCATCAGTATTTGAATAGCTTTTATTTTTGGAATTACTAACTTCGTGCGACTGAATCTTTTATCTTTACAAAATATATAATTTTAAACATAGTGAAATGATAAAATATCACTATGATATACACACGTATAACAATTCTATACGCTCAGAATAAAACAAAAAACAAAAAAAAATAAAAAATCTCACTAATTAAAATTTAAAATGACTTAACATCACTCAAAATTATGCAAACAAGTAATTTTAAAACTTAAGAACAGTAATTTTACAACAAAAATTTGTACTACTATTGATCTACAAAAATTCATAATGTTAGAACTGCAAAGATTCGGTAGTTTACAGAGCTGTTAGTTACACACAAACATATCAATGTGGTACAGGTAGAAAATGCAGATGTAATCAGCTGGCTTAGTCTTTTAGTGTCCACATTTAATTATTGATAGTAATAATAGTGATAAGGCTAGTATCAGCATCGATAACGGTCATTTTAATATACGTGATGATGCACTGAAAGGTAGAAAATTCATTTTATTGTTGTAGTAAATAGAGCTTCTATTATTCTGCTTCTGTTTTACGATAGTAAATAATATTTCCATCAAAATAAAGGCCTGAAATCAAGTGATTCACACATATATCAATGTCAGCAATCACAATTTTAATCAAATCTGAAGACAAAAAATACTTCTAAAATAAAATGTGACGCTATAAATATTAATGGCAAACATTTTCATACAAATTAGTATGCATTACCATTCACCACCGAGAAAAAAATCATTTTTGGCAAAAAATTGATAACTTTTAAATTGTGAGGTCAATACAAATTGCTATAAAACCAAAACAAGTAGAAAGACTGCAGTAATTATACAGCATTATTTAATAATTTAACATTTCAGGAAGTTTTTTGTACTTGAAACTATCATTCAATTTTATTAGTTAGTTCATTAGAATATAAACTTCTAGGATATAATGACTCATCCATTCGAATATTAGATTAATATTATCACTACAATTAAATATTCAAATCTTTTATTTGTAGTGACTATTGACTTATTTTTACTTACTTATTGATTAGATCAATGTGCTGAAATATATTTGCGACAAATTAATATATTGTTGAGTACTAGTCAATAAGTAAAATACAAGTGGATTGATGCACAAACATATTAATCATATCATTCTACAATGCAATTATCTGTCAAAGTAGCTGCACTGAATATAATTTATGATAGATATTTTCATGACAACAACTTTGCACACAAGTTTATTTCTGATAATAATCATAGAGAAGGGCATAAGCAGAAATAATCTTGTGTGCTCCTCTCTCCCTCCAAAAATTAATCTCCCTCCAAAAATTATCTCCTTCCAAAAATTAATCCCAAACTTTTAAAACATTTCTTTTTTGTTGATATTTATTTTAGTTTCGTTAAGATTACTTTTGTTGACATTTACTTAGAGAAACAATTAACAATAGCAACAATTAAACCGTTCTATACCACAAATTTTGCCATTTTGCTAGATATAATTTTTTTCATAAATTTTGTTTTCAATTTTTACAGTGTTGTTCAAAAAATTACTTGTGAAAAATATAAATGAAAACTTAGATACTAAAACTGTCAACGTGAATTTTCAGACAAATCTACTTCTCTAATTGTACGCAATTATTTGTAAAATAAGCAAACAATGATAAGTGGATAAGAAATTTGGCTAAATGTATAAGTGCCACCAGCAACTTAAATTCAAACCTCTGATAATATTTTTGGGTGATAACGTAAAGAAAAGTGGGCGAAATGTTTGTTTGAATTTTACTGTATTTGCGTGATGTCTTATGCAAAATTTTTTACTGGTATAAATGGTACGTATGATGATAATAGCATGACATGATTCAAAGTCACTGTGGAAATACGTCGAGTTTCGCTCGTGTTTGTTTGATATACTTCAGTTTCGGAGCATTCTACAAACTAGTATGTGATTGAGACGTTTCCTGCTTACTCACACGCATTGCAAAACAGATCGACATGTTGTTTGCTCGTTTTGAAGTCTGCAATTTTATATATTTTAGGAAATTGTTGTTCTTTCGTTGTTATTTAACTCACTATAGTTCATGTCATATGCTCGTTTGCATCATTTTGAATTTTATTTAAAAAGTCACTGATTTGACTGATCATTGACTTCTTGGTATTTTGTTATCTGCTTATCTTTTGATTATTATCATAAGTTTGCAATAATATCGGTGATTTTAGATCATTTGTTCGATTCTACAAGAAAGTACAGTTTGTATAATGTTTTTCCCTTTCATTGAATAGGTAATCAAATACTTCATTTACATAAAGCGTTATTTTCAGTGTTTGGAAATGTAAGCAGGAAGGTTTTGCTTTCCTAAAAGTTTTAAAGAGATGACGACTAATATCCGTTATATCGGGAACTATGATATAAATGCTCAAGGAAAATTTCTTTGGGAGATTCTTTGTCAGCTGAGAAATCTGGGAGTGGGAAGAATTGTTACTAAAAATGAGTGGATAAGAAAATGGCCAGATCAACCATCATATTTGAAAATTGTTCAAGTAAGTTGAATAATTCTCAAACTTCCAGAATATAGCAGAGTAACAGTATTTGTTGAGAGTGATCATTTTGCATTTTTAAACCATGACATTTGATTATCTAATTTAGTTTTTAAATTGTGATACTGAGAGTACTTTACTGGAACATTGTTGTTTAATAGTTTAATGAGATAGATTCTTGAGTGATTGTTCGATGTAAAAACCAAAGGAATTCGATTATTCTTTTTAAATAGTCTAGTAACTTTTTAGGTGGTTCATTACCTCATTGTATATTTACTTTACTAGTCTAAAATGTTTTATTAATCGTTTACTACATCATTCTTTTAGTCTTCATCACCATAATTAAAAGTAATTTCTCTAATTTGCAGTGCTTTCTAGGCTCATCCTGTAATGGATCGATGGTTGCTCCATGGAAAAGTTTGTGCTGACTGGACATTCAGAGGAATCAAGTTAGGGACTTACGAATTCAGCACTGATTTAGCGCGCGCAGGTGTGTATTTATGTCACGTTACGATTTTTTCTTATAAAACTACTGAAATTATCGGCTAATTTTTTCGGTATTTTTAGATTGGCGTTTAATTTATAAGCATGAAGAAAAAAGATTCATGGAATGTAGTGAGCCTATGAAAGCAGTTGAATATCCGAAGTCTATGCCTCTTCCTCCATATCTTGTTTGTTTGTTTGTTTGCAAATTTACTGTTTGAAATAGTCATTGCTGATGTTTTGTTCTGCTTCATGCATTGGCTTGTAAGGTAATCTCTATTTGATTGATTTTAGAGAGCAGTTTGTGAAAATGGTGATGTAGTAAAGGTAGAAGAAAGACGGATCGATTTAAATTTATGCTTAGATCCTCAATTCGAGATGATCAGGCATATGTTTAAACAGGTTTGTTCAATTCTGAAAAATTTTATTGGATGACTTATATGCTTTAAATTTTTTCACTCCGTTAGAATCGTTTCATAATTAGACATTTAAACTAATTAAACAGTGAGTGTGAATTGCATTAATTTTTTTCCGTACGCGTGAGGAGTTGTAGGTTGAAACACGTCATGGTAATACAGTTTATGAAGAAACAAGGCCAGAAGTGTGGTTAGATTTGTATGGCGATGAGATGCCAATAAAAGTAGAAGCTTGGACTGTTGGTCCAGCGCAGTTACGACCTCACTTTGACAGTTCTGTGCCAACTTCTAAACCTCCAGAGTTGGATCATATGTCTTTGCCTGAATTGAAATTTGATGCTGAGGATTCTGATAGTATAGATAATAACACTGATAGTATTCGAAATTCAACCTAAATTTAGTTGATGAAAACGTTTGAATTCGATGAGCCGTGATTGCTTCATAATAATTAAAATCATAAAATAATATTGTTAGAAATGATTTTAGTACATATTGTTGATATGCTTAAAGTGGAAGAAAGTATATTAATAAGTATTTTAGTACTTTTTTTTTCATCTTTATTAATGCTTTCATGGCAATAAGAAAATTTTTAAATGCCGAAATATGAGATGCTGTTAGGAAAAACTTTTGTACCAAAAGATTTATAATTTTTGCTTGATGCATAAGATTAATTTACCAGAATTCTCTTATTTATTTATCTGTTATTTTGTGATTATCAGTCGGAGGCTCTGCTATTATTGCGTGTTACTTTTTTGGTTATCAGTAGTGTTGAAATTTAGAGTGAAATATTGAACTTTATTTATTCAGAATGTTTGATAAAATCATAGATGGGAGTTTTCTATAAATTATTTATGATATTGCAAATGTTTGCATCTATTTGGACTACATGCATTAGATTAAGCGATACTGTCACGTGTATACTCATTCAATTTTCATTTATACAAATTCATATCTACATTGTGCACTGTTAATTTATTAGGCAGTTTTTAGTTGCTGAATCACCGGCTATCTTCCATACTTAGAACATGTCTAACTTGGAACGATCTAAGCCAGTCAAAATGATTTTGGTAACAGGTGGTGTCATCAGTGGTATCGGAAAGGGCGTAATTTCATCCAGTTTAGGTGTGCTACTTAAAGCTCATGGTTATCGTGTTTCAGTCATTAAGATTGATCCATACATTAACATTGATGCTGGGACATTTTCACCTTTCGAACATGGTACGAATTATCTTTTTACTACTACTGTAATTATGAGTTAGTGGAAAATTGTCTTAGCGTGTTTATATCTTTAGATGTGCGAGAACAGTGTGCTCTATTTTTTTAATTATAATTTCTTCTTTGGCAGTGTGATAGAATTGTGCTTTCTTAATGGTTGGTGCCTTAAATTTAGCATATTATTATTATGAAGTTGAATTCTATGCCGGCACCACGATTTATGCTGAAAAATACTTTGTTGTTCAGGCGAAGTATTTGTTTTGGATGATGGTGCAGAAGTGGATTTGGATTTGGGAAATTATGAAAGATTCCTGAATGTTCGTTTAACTCGTGAAAATAATATTACGACAGGCAAAATATACCAGCAAGTGTGTTTATCTGTTTTTTTATCTTTTAACTGTTCAGACTAAAGGTTTATAAGTTTGATTAAATTATGTATTTATTAATCAGTTTTAAGGTCATCGAACGAGAAAGACGTGGAGACTTTTTGGGAAAAACAGTACAAACTATACCTCATATAACTAGTGCGATTGTAGAATGGGTGGAACGAGTTGCTGCAATACCCGTTGATGGAAGTATGGAGCGTCCTGAAGTTTGTATAATTGAAGTAAGTATTAAAAATTGTTATGTTAGTCGTAATTGGTAGAATATTAAACTATGTGGAATTCGAAACACTTTAAAAAAGCATACTTTATTTTAGCTCGGTGGTACCGTGGGGGATATTGAAAGCATGCCTTTCATTGCTGCTTTTGAGAAATTTCAAAGACCGGCGTTCAGAAATCAACTTATGACAGGTTCAGTATTAATTATTTCAATTTGAAAAATAGAGCACATACTTGTTTCTATATTTGCTATCTTTCTTTTTCAGAGAAATTATGATTTTACTGTGCATAAAATAAATAATGTTAGTTCAGAAAGAAGGCTTAAAAATTTACATTTATAGTGCATGTTTCAATAATTTTGGAACCAAAAACTACTGGAGAGCCCAAAACGAAACCAATGCAAAATAGCGTGCAAAACTTAAGGGCTAGTGGTTTAATCCCTGATTTGTTAGTATGTCGAAGTGAACGTCCTTTGAGTTATACTTTACGTGAAAAAATTGCAGCTTTCGCTATGGTTGATTTAGATCAGGTTAGATAGTTTTTTATGAATTTTATTTTACCAGAAATAGAAAGATGTGAGTTCATTTACATTTTCATTAAAGTGATTTTGCTTTCATTCAGGTTATTGTTGTTCACGATGTGGCAAATATTTACAAAGTACCTCTTTTGCTTCATAATCAGAATACATTGGAGATGATTATCGAACGACTGAAATTGAAACCTGTGGACGCTCACGATACGCTGATTCAGAAGCCTAATCTCTTCCAATGGACGCATTTATCTAATTTGTTCGTTTATACCTTATCATGACAACTCTATGAATTATTAAGTTTAGTAATGAGAATATACCAAGTTTAGGTGCGATAGCTTTAATGAAGAGGTACGAATAGCAATGATTGGAAAATATGTTAAAATCCGTGATTCATATGCATCAGTAAACAAAGCTCTTCGACATTCTGCGATTCATGCTAAGCGGAAACTTGTTATCGAGGTGTGTATTTATTCCATAGAAAATGTATTTAATTTCAGTTACTAGGCATTATTTAGGTTTTTTGATGAAATTCTTCCCCATATTTTTGTTTTATAGTATATTCTCTCAGAACATCTCGAAGAAACTGAGGATCCTTTGTGCATTCCAAATTACAATAACGCGTGGGAAGCGGTCAGGCGCTGCGAGTAAGTAATTTCATCCATAAATTGAAGTTGTTTTCCGTCATTACGCACACTTTTTTCGAGACACCATTTGATACATTTGAGGTTATTGTATCTGATTCTTTGATCAATCAACTGTAATACATATTTTGTCACAACAAAACTGCTTGACCTGAAAATATCAGGCGATATTCACCAGCATGTCTCGTTTTGCTTGTTTAAACATCGATCTATTTTGGTTGAAGTGTTAGTGAGTATAGTGATAAAATCTTTCCCGACTGACAAGATGATGGATCATAAAATGTATTTGTCAGATGTGTTCAATTACTTTACTTGGTATGATCGTTTATGGTCGCATGCATCGATTTAATTACTTTACTTCGCATAATCGTTTATGGTCGCATGTAGTGTCTTGCTGGGGTATTTGATACTGCATAAGTAGTATTTATAAAGGAGTTAAGATAATTTTATACGCGTATGGAAATATTTTTTAATGACATGGCAAAAAAATTGATTTGAATTTTCTTATGATTCTAGCGGTATTTTGGTTCCTGGTGGATTTGGTGGTCGTGGCATTGAAGGAAAGATTGCAGCCTGCAAATATGCTCGAGAAAACAATATTCCTTTCTTAGGTGGGTATCATTGTAATTTTTTCAGGATCTTGAATATTTGAGTTTTGGACTTACTGTTTGTTTTTTATTAGATATAATTTTTAAGTATCTATTATTAGTTTCACAGGTATTTGTCTCGGCATGCAGTGTGCTGTAATTGAATTTGCACGCAATGTTTGTGGAATCAAGGGTGCAAATTCGACGGAATTTGATTTGGAAATTGTTGGGGAGCAACAAGTATTAAATTTCAATTTACCACGAATGCTTTAATTATAATGTACTAATGTTGAGTTTATTGAAGTTTGAGGAATAATAGGTAATTGGTTGATTGCTTAATTAATTTTGAAAATTCCGGATTTCGTGGATAAGTATATATATAATTACGAAAAGAAGTATGGTCCAAAAACGGATATAGATGTACTTCATTACTGTGTAATTTAGAAGATGTTGAGTTGTTTTATTTTAAATTTTACTTTTATTTTGAGGTAGTAATTGATATGCCAGAACATAAAGGAGATATGAAAGGCATGGGAGGAACAATGCGACTTGGTTTGAGAGACTCAGTATTTCTCTCGGAGGAATGCAAATTACGCAAGTTTTTTCTCTTCCTACTGTTTTATTTTTTCACTCTCATATTGTAAGTTAAGCTCTTGTGTACAAAATCTGTCATCAAGAAATCCATCAAAAAGTTACTTTTGTATTTATTCCAATTTAGGCAAATTGTATGGTGTTGACAAAATCAGTGAGCGTCATCGGCATCGTTACGAAGTAAATCCTTCTGTAGTTCCTAGACTTTGTACTGCAGGTCTTCTATTTGTTGGTATCTTTTTATGTTTTTTGTACGAGATAATTTCATTTAAGAAAGTTCTCAAGGTTAATATAATTTAATAGTTTAGGTATAGGAACAGATGAAAAAATGACACTCGATGATATTGAAAATATTTTATCAACATCAGAAAAAAAGAATGGAGATGAAATAGGCAGCGAAGAAGTTTGTTTCAAAATCATGATTTTTTTTCTGTTTACGGCAGTTCGTTGATCGTGCATCATTTAAAGACACGTATTTTTCAGACATATTTGTTACGCCGAATCCACATTTTGTGTCAAAGTAAAGGGGAAACTGCTAGAACAACACCTGTACGAATGGAAATTATTGAGTTGCAAAGTAAATTAAATCGTGACTGTTGTATTTTCTGTTTCCGTTGGAATTGATATGAATCTATCTGTAAAATATTATTTATATTGTCAGATTGATGTAGGAATGCACAAGTATGGAACCATGCTAATCAAGAATTTCAGATCATCCTTACTTTGTTGGTGTTCAATTCCATCCAGAGTATTTGTCTAGCCCTCTCCAACCTAGTCCTCCATATTTTGGCTTTATTTGTGCAGCTTCTAACCAGCTAGGGAGTTTTCTTCGTGGTTCCAAAATACCATCACCAATGAGTGTTTTGAAAGAAGCAGAAGATTATGTGAGTTCACTGAGATTTTCGAACTATTTTAAATCTATTGTAAGTTTAGAAGCTGAAGAAGTTATTGCTAATGTAAGAATAGCAACAATATTTTATTGGTCAGTTAATTCTTGTTTAAAAGTGCTGTTCTAAAATTAAATTTTTTCCATATCAGAGTTCGAACATTGAAAATGTCTTGCAAGCAACGCATATATATGTTAATGAAATTGGCGAATTCGAAGAAAAAGAACGCAGGGAAGATTAACTTATTGACTCTATTTCCCACTAACATTATCCTCTGTGTAATGCGTGTATTAAATTGTGTGTGAAATTACTCACTCAGGCAACTGAATTTATCTAATTTTTGAAATTAGAAGTAATTATTGAAAGCAGTTTTCCATGTTTTTTATCATGAAAACTATGGGGGTTTTTTGTCGAAATATTTTTAGTTGTTGAGATTTTGGAAATCTGCTCCGGAGTTTGTGAAATTTCCTGTTTGGCCTTTGTATGTCATTCAGTGGCCATTGTTTCATTTGTTTAGGATTTACTTGTTGCAGAATTTCAATATCAAAATGTATATTTATTATCGTCTTGTTCTCAGTACCATTTTTAATTCTCAGTGACGAGCTTTTTCTCGCTTGAAGTTGTGTTGTTTTTGATATTTTTGATGAGAAATTTTGGAATCATTTGAAATATGAGTAATCTCTTTGTCGAATGCCAATTGATCTCAAGAATGCAATTTCTTTGTCACATCAACTTAAGATACTATTTTTGCTCCCACTGATATATGTCGTCATGACAATTCGATTAGAAGAATAAATTTGTTACCAAGCTAAGTGACGTAATCGAGTTGTTGTAACATGATGTTGGAAGGTCACAACATGGAGTTGAACATAAAATTATAACAGCCTACTGAGATATTTAAGTTCAGTATGAGCAGAATGATGACTTTTACATTGCTAATTAAATACAAATAAGCAATAGAAGTTCTTGCTAGGAGATGTGAATCAGTTGTTTACGTGCTATTGCATTTAATTGGAACGAAAACTGACTCTTACAACTGACCAAACTGAGACACGTAGATTCGTTTAATTTGCTTTTATTTAATTCATTAAGTAGTAGTTGGCAGATTCAATTAAGAAATATAGAGATGCAAGTATTTCTTGAAAATATGTCAGTGAGTAATATGTCGATTCATAGTTCGTAATTCTTTGCTTGTCTTATGTAAAACATTTTGTATTACCATTCGTCTGCATCTTCTCTGCGTACATTGAAGAGTACGTTGTCGTTATTAGTATTAGTATTTGTCATTGCCTGTGCTGTTAATGTTTGAATCATTGGGGCAGATAGCACCTGACTGTAGTAGTAAAGTTTGTATTGTGTGTTGTTGTAGTCTTATGTGCTTTTTATTTCTGCTGTGATTTCATCGCTTCAACGGCTTGGCTGTTTTGGTGTAAGATTTTTTTAAGTTCCATTTTGTAGCTATAAGAGAAGTGATGAGTAAATGACATGAGCCTGAAGTAGATTGCTTTAACTGTAATGAAAGGGATGATTGATGGGGATTGTTGCTAGAGTTGGTGTTGATAAGCATTAATTGTAATTTCTTGACAAGAGAATTGTGGAGAAATTTTCACGTGCCACTTTTCTGCACCATTTCAATTGATGGCAACATCTGGAAATAACAGTCCATCCTTTTGTACTTGCGTTATTTTCAGTCTTCACAGAACTGTAATCTCGTTTTTGTTGACAAACACAAAAGTAATGTGTGATGTAAAATTTATAAAATTTTAGAAGCAATTAGGCGATATTTCATTTATCGCATTCTTTGTAGTATACAGGCCACGTATCGTGTATTTTCGATGATAATGTTGTAAAAGTTTGAATTGTAGCGATAATGCTCTAATACATGTATTTTCTAATGATCCATAATAATAATTCCATAATATCGACTTGTGACGTACGGGTTATTGATTTGAAGAAATGTATTAGATATATTTTCAGTGGCATAAATTTTTTTGACCCAAGTTTGATTGTGAGAGAACTTGTCATATCATGTTATATCGCAAATAGATCTAATGAATGAACTGCCAAATTATCAGTTAGAAGTTGAATTATTTTGTATTTTGGCAGCAGTTGCTAAGGAGGAAGATGTCAATATCTGGTCAGTACAGCAGCAGATGCCGTTTGCACGAGGTGGAAGTTGGTCAGTTTGGTTCCACTTTTTCATACTTTCCTCGAATCCATTGTAGAAATATTGTCACGTCACACTTATTTCATGTTATTATTTTTAAAAAAATTTGGCATTCGATCTGCTATCAAATTCTTAAGAGTTTCATCTTAAAATTTCATTTCATCCTTATTATTTGTTATTACGAGAATAATGAATCTTGAAAATGCTCACATTTCGCCAGTTAGCTTTTATTTTAATTCTTCATAAGTTTCTGTGTGAAAACTTCGTACGATTAATGTATCTGTATAAATTTTGATCTATACGGTTTCATATTTTTGTGACTTAAAATAGCTTATATTGCAGAGCATGAAGTGAAATGCAAGAAAAAGAAAAAATTGCTATGGCGTCGACTACGAGAAGGAAACACCGAATTGAAAATGTTATCTTTAGATGTAGATGACGAGGATTTTGTGGAAAATTTAAATAATTGCTTGAAAGCTTTGCATTCCCATGTTTATCCAGTTTTAATTCCTTCAGGGAGTTCTGGTATATTAATTTCTTCAATAAGGCATATCTACAATTTTGATTAGTCAGTCATACGAACTAATTACTCGATGAGTGTTTCTGCCGATTTTTTTTAAACGAGCTTTTTTAACTGTAAATGAAATTATGAATGTACATATCATCAACAGTGAATAAAAATTGTATCATTTTCTTACTGTTCATAACATGCCCTGGCTTACTAGTCTTTCTTCATTGCAATGGCTTAATAGGCTATGTAATAAAAAACATTATCATTACGCTGAAGACTTTTTAATTAAAGAGTCTGTCACGGTTTACTGATCTCATTCTTTCTGGTCAATTACTGATTGAATTCATCATCAATGTCTGCAGATATTATAAATTTTCTAGGGTCTTATTTTGTTCGAAGTCCTGAAGGTCGACATATTGGAGTGTTTAAACCGAAAGATGAAGAACCATTTGCAGAAAATAATCCCAAATGGCCGAAATTCCTGCAGCGCTTTCTGTGTTTCTGTTGTTACGGTCGTTCATGTTTAATACCTCTAAATGGTTATCTGTCGGAGGTAGCAGCTTCACTGGTTGATGAGCGGTTACAGGTTACTTTCATCTTGGTATTTAAGTTTTGTGTTCAAATATTATCGATCTAATGGATAAGAAGACATTGATCTTGACTTAACATTGCTTGTTCTTCTACAGCAAGAAAAGTTTCAGTTCTTTATTGTAATTTTGTCTTTTTACTGATTTAAGTTATATATTGTGCCAAAAACACGTATTGTCAAAATGGCATCTCCAACATTCTTTTATCCTAGACGGTGCTGCTCAGGAGTGGATGAAATTCGTCCAAAAATTGGAAGTTTCCAGGTCAAATTTACATATTTCCAGCTCTCACTTTTTGTGTTTTACATTTTTCAAGTTGTTTGATAGGTGCCTGCTCCATGATATACGTCTGTTCATTGTATCCATTGAAATTTTCATCGTCTAAGAAAGAAAAAGTGTTGATTCTGTTATCTTCAAGGTATTTGTTCATGGTTATGCACCAGCATATGACTTGGTACCAGGCTGGGAGTTCTGCGGTACATCTGATCCATTAACCGCAGTTGAGCGAAAACGTTTTCTTCTACAGTTTCAAAAAATGTGTATACTTGATTATGTGATTCGAAATACTGACCGAAACATGGAAAATTGGCTAATACGGTTCGTAGTGGCTTTTTTCTTAGTGAGTGTCCGATTTTACTGTTGTTCATGAAATGATTTATTTGTCGTGTTTAGGTATGTTCCCGACGATACACTTGATCTTGTAGCTATAGACCATGGATTGGCGTTTCCTGTCAAACATCCCGAAACTGCTACGGTATTGCGGCCATTTGCATACGGTTGGGCTAATATGGATTGTGCGAGAGAGGTATATTGTGGATTAATTTCTTCTAAATTTTAGAAAAGTGTGATTGGTTAGACAGATTTTCGATAAAAGGTGTATTGTCAACAGAGATTTTCAATTTCTACTAAAGAGCTCGTGAAAATCTCTGTTGACAATTTTGTTACTAGAATCAATCACTGTTGTCTGTTGTGTTCTAATCATAATTATTCTCTCAATTCATTCCTGCATTTTAATTTCATCATAATTTACTGTCTTGATTTGATTCAAATATTGAAGAATATGATTCCTTTACTTGTTTTAATGTTATTTTCAGCCATTTGATGACCAGTTACGCAATCGTTTGCTGTCTTTGTTAACGCCACTATTTGTACACAGCTTATGTGCAGAAATTAAAAAGCTTTTTATGATCGATAGTGCTAATAACAGATTCCTAATAAACAGCCAACTAAAAGTAATGAGAGGACAGGTAAATTTCTTATTGAGTTCACTTAACATTAGACAGTTAGAAATATCTTTTGTCATATAACTCTATTCTTTCAATTACCAAACTATTTTAGCTTTGGAATTTACGGCTTTCTCTCTTGGAAAATGAATCACCAAAGAAAATGACTCAACGTCCACTAATTATAGTTACGAGACGGTATCATAAGTATCCAAGATCTGATGTATGGGAGCAATGTTTCAAAGCCAAAACTCCAGATTATTCAGGGAGACGCTGCTTTTAGCTTGCTTATCCCAGCCATTGACCGTGATTGCATTACCACTGATTCTTCTTTATAAGTTTGATTTGTATGGAGTTCCAATAGGTCTATCTTCCTTGCAGTTATAGGATCGGAAATCAGTAATCCTTTCTCTAGATTATACAAAAAATGGTGCTCCTACCCACCTGATGCTTCCTCGAGTTTAAAGCTAGTAATCTTTTAACTAATTTAGGGCTTTGACGTGTTCAAGTGGTGAAATTTCTTCTATGTATTTTATATGTATCTTCCTTTGATAAAAATCTGCCGACCACATCTATGAAATGGCATATCATCACTCTGAAGTAATGCTTTCTTTTTTATTTTTAATAAACATTCTAACTAATATGTAATGTTAATAAATTGTTTATATCTAGTTTGCTGTCTAGACATTTTTAGCTTATTTAAAAAATAATAGTAAATATGTACAATGACTAATGACTATAATATCAAGCAGGATTAATTTGAATAACGGTAAACCTCATTTATATTTAGGATTTAAAGTTGCTTACTCTTCTCAATCTTACTCGTTTTTCATGTCTTTGTTCATGACTTCTTACTCTGTTGTTCATGACTTCTTACTCTGCGCTTTAAATTCAAATTTGTCGCATTTTCTTATTAGTGAGATCTATTATACTGAAAATTAAAAAAGTAACTATCACATACTTTGAGCAAGGCAGTCAATTTAAGAATGCTAAGGATGTAGTACCAACGGCAGTTGGAAATTGATGCGACTGTGTATATTAGTTATTCAACATGAAAAAACTTTTGAACATGCTTTACAGATGTTCAAGATAAGCGAAACAAGTTTCATGAATCATTCAATTATAGGTGATATGCTATAAAAGCATCATAACGTGCTATTTTATCCGAAAACAATAAACCATGATTTTAAGGAAGAGGGAATTAAACAAACCGGAAACAACAGAATGACAAAGTGAGTTGCTTTTATAGGCATCGTGTGATTACAGTTCGATATATTTTGTTCATCTTATGCAAAACAGAAAAGCAAAATGTGTAGTCTTCATTTCAAAAAGTTCAATTTTTCTCTTCGTTCATAGACCATCATTTTTATCCATTTCAGATATTCTAGGCTTATTTATCTCTTCGGCAATAGCTTGTTGCAGTATATTCATAATTTCAGTATGCAAACGATTTAGACGGATAGGACTTTGAATCATATCTAACTTTTTCCGGATCATTTCAGCTGAAAATTAAGTCATAAAGCAGGACAAATACAAATTTTTCAGCTACAAAATATACGAGTAACAATTTGCAACACATCAAATTTTTCGTCATATTACATTAATATCAATAAATATCATCATATGCAAGGTGTCTACTGAACGAAAATCGTCTTGTTAAGTGAGTAATTATATCTTTTAGCACCAAAAGTGACAAACTGAACTAAACATAGCGTTAAGACAAAATTATAATCAGCCATAATCTACGATCACGGATCTCTTCATGCCATATAAATGATCAATTATTTGACAAAATGGATAAAAATTTTCAACATACCAAACAATTCATTCATTCCCACTTGTTTATCACTCATAACTGGTGAGTTGATATTCCCCACTTCAGGAAATGGTTTATTCTACAAAAATTTCAAGTTTTAGAAGAAATATCCTAAACATACGTAATCACGGGAGCATTCTAAATACTATACTATCTATTAAAACCAGGAAATTGTACTCAAAACTATATCTTATTTCGAATGACCAATTTCCGAACGTTATTGAAGGATAGTAAAAGAAATAGTAAAGAACTGCAAAAAGGCTTCAAACAAATATCAAAGAAACGATTATGATTATATATATATATATATAAATAGTCACGTGCGATGTGATGCAATCGAGTAGCTGGCAGCTCAACCAATCGGCAACTCGACAGAGTCGAGAAACTATACAATTATTTCTCGGCTTTGCCGGGGTGCTGAGCGGCTGAGTTCAAGAAATATAAAATGGAAAGTAAAAAAAAGTCTGCATCTTTAATCATAAATGAAAACAATGCAAAGACAGGCGCGGCTGGAAAATGTGCAATTACCCTCGAAGAACTGAAGAAGCAAGCGAGTTCTGTCATTACCAGTAATGCAGGTCGTAATGCAGGCACGCAATTGGCAATTATTGTGCCCTATCTAAATACTAGGTACAGCCTCGCAGAAAGTCCTGCTTGGAAACTTATCAATCCAGAAGGCATTTTTGTATAGCGAAATAGGAAAGAAAACTTATAAACAAAAGTGTAAAAGATGTGGACGAGTAAAATCTCGTCTGTATCTGATTCATCAATATGACTACGATACGGAAACATTATCCCGCAAGATGAAGCATGATACTGTTACCTCCTAAATAGAAATATGTATAGAGCAAAGGTATGTGCCAGCATTGTATGGAACGTGTGAAGACGGTGGACTATTCAGTAACGCAGTGCAAAAACTGTTATATCAGGACAATACTACAAGACTTGGTGATGCGTCAATTTGCAAAATAAATGATCTGAAAGGATTTCCACACATGAAGAAGCATTTCGTTTAGGAAATAGTCGCTTATAGACTGTGTAGATCGGAGTCGATAAAAAGAGATCGATTTGATATCATGATCCGCATGTACCAGATATCATGGCCCACGACACGAAGCAACATGAAGTAATTCTGATAGAGACTGGCTTCGTAAATCAAAAAAGGTTGATAGCAGTCAAAAGCGAGAAAAGATGAAAGTATTATGTACTCGCTAATAAACTCGGATAAGAGATAGACAAAATAATTCCGCATGTGATGACTTGGGATGGAATTGAAACTACGCGAAGGAGATCCGTATGTCTGACCACGTCGAAGCATATAATTCAATCGACAGTGCTCAAAAAGACGCTCGAAAGCATCTCATCCGATGACCGCTATGAACTTCACGAGGACGGAGTGAAAACGACCAGCATAACAAATCTGAGAGTATGACAAGTACGGCCAGAGTACCGATATACGATCCAGCGCCAGAATTAATAAAACGAAAAAAGACTGACCCTCACATCTTGTTTTCTTATAAATTTGCATATGTATAAGAAAAAACATACGCATAATTTAGAACCGTCACGATTCAGAATAGGCATCAACCGCGAAAGTTTTTGTTCTGAATCTGACTCGGTACCTGTTTCTAAAATAATCTTTTCTTTATGTGATAAGAAAAAAGCTAGAGCTGAAGAAGAAGCTCACTTTATTCTGAAACAACAAAAATAAAGATATAATAAAATACCATAAGAATTTGCAGAATATTAAAGCTATTTTGAGAGAAAGCAATACTTGGGTTCCATTCCGTGCCATATGACATCCTCATTTCAAGTATTATATCAATTATAAGCAGAAACAGATGCAAAAAAATGTTAATGTCCGATCTTCAGGTTATAAATTATATTTTTGAATTAAGATTTTACAAAAATAAATTCTCAGAATGATCTATCGATTTTCCTGAACGCAATCTTATTATTTCAAATGCAATTAGAAAAAACATTCTGCGTAATTATTATGAAAAACTAGAAAGTATTAGAAACTAAAACCTTCCATTCTCAAACGCTGCTTCGGTAGATTCTCGTAAATGCGCTTCTGCAATTCTCTAAAGCATTATTTTAAATTTTAAATTTAGTAAAGTAAGGAGTTATTAACAACAAAAATATGTAAGTAAGATTATGAATAACTAACTTCTGATCCTGGATGGCCGGGATGTACTGACGGTGCTGCTTCATTGAAAAAACCAAATTTTTGCGGTGGAAAACATCGGAAACGCATAGGCATTCTAAGACACTGCATAGGTATTTTATGACGTCCAGCATAAGTTGCAGAAGAATATAAATGCTAAAAATATAAAATATAGCCTAAATAAACAAGCAAAAAACTTAAAACAATATTAGTGATATCTTACTTTAGAATATAACTACTTCATGATCATTAACTTACATATTAGTTACGAATCGACCTGAATGAAATATAAAAGCAAACGTCTGTATGTGATGACTTTAATGCTTCTAATAATGATATCTAAATGGTGCAATTTTAACAAGAAATGTAATGCTTTATTAATCCATTTCAGGCATCAAAATTCGGAATGTAATTAAGACGGCCAATCAAAAAATAAAATAAAGTAGATTTCGCCAGTAATCCAAATTAGAAAGCTCTACCCTTCCTCCTGGACGAATCCCATGAGTTAATACATATTTTTGCTGCTGTAGTTTTAACGACGAGTTTCGCTCTCTTACACTGCCTCGCTTACGATTATTTCTAAAGATGCATTTATAACAGGAATCATTTTTGAAAGATTTGAGCCGCAAGAAACTGGTTTTAATTGGTGTGGCTCAAGAAATTATACCTTTTCTAGACTATCGATAAAATTAGACTTAAACTAGAGACGACAAATTCCTTTTCCCCAAAAAACTTGCCTAATTTTCAAGCAAATCTCGTCTCACAAAAAAGTTCGTTTAATATTAATGAGATAAAGTAAGAGACAAGAGAAATACATTTTTCCGCTAAAAGTAATAGGAATCTAAAAGTTTGAAAACCATGGTCAGTTTTTACAATTAAAAATCAATAAATTATTAAGATAGTATTAAAAAAAGAGACCAAAATCTTACGAGTCTTAAAGCTCCGATTGTTAGTAATCAGTCAAACAAATTAGTACAAACTTTTTCTCTCTCGCTTGTTCTTCACTATCTACATTTATACTATGCTTTTCCACCATTTCAACTTCATTTTCCACTTCCACGTCCATGTTGGTTACAGAAGATGACATCATAATACCTTATTGTTGTCATAGACAAACGTTATCTATAAAAAAACAGAATAAATAGAATAGAGAAGTAATGAAAACTCACAATAACTTCAAACATTTAAGCTCCATATCACAGACTAGATGTTAGCGTAAGTTCACGCAGAGTACATGGCTTAAGTATTCCCGTAATACAGATATACGATTGAATCTGTTTGTTTTCTGCTTAAAGCCGTAAAATAGTGTCCCTTTGCAATTGTTGCATCCCTATTCATTTCGTAGTTTAATGAAACGGAAACTTCTTGCACTGTTACTCAGCTTAATTAAAGTAACTGCAATTTTCCTCGCGTACTTCACACTGTCTCTTTTTCATATTGCAATTTACTCTTTTGATGTGATATTTTCACGTATTTTTCTGTGTTTTCCGTTTATCAAAATTTTTTAAGTATATCTGACAGAAGCACATGAGTCATGCAATCAGTTTGATTGGAGAATTTGCATTTTCCATTGATAAGCAGATATGAAATTAAGTACGGTATGTGTGTGGGATTAATTGGAATGAGTGATGAGAACAAAAATTAACTTTTTTAAAAATTCAAGAGCAGTGACTATCATTTATCTCAAAAATATTGTGCTGCATTACTTGATAGATCCATGCGTGTATGAAATGCTACGCCGAAATGCTACGCCAAAACGTGAAAAGTCATTGTTATTTCTGGCAAGTGATAAATGATATTACTATTATATTGTCGAATGAAGTTAAATCTACCTAATTAATCTTGATTTACTTCAAAGTAAGCACATACTATAATGGATTGTTGTAAAGAAAAAAACAGTGAAATGATTCCTTGATCATATCTTATTGCTAAGTTATTTTTAGACGTACGTTCTAAACGCGATAAGTCAGTTTTTGCTGAGTTTCAGATGTAAATTAGAAAATGTAAATCATTCATTTATATTTATATATTTCTTTACATTCATTGAATTTCAACTGAATTCATCGCGCTGAAACTAAGAGCGAAATTTGTGTGCAAATTTCGCTAACATCTGAGATGTACACTGAGTCATTAATTTTGTAGTTATTAAGAATGACTGACGCAAATGCATTTCAGGTGTGATTTGCTGAATTGATTTTTATATTTTGATCTATTCTTTTATCAAATATAAACACTCTTGAAAATAACACTTTAGTTTACTTTGTTAAAAGCAGACGTGACACGGAAAAACACTTTGAACACGTAAAACTGTCAAGAAAAATGAGATAACAATTAAAATGTAGATAAAGGTTTTGATTTACTGCCAAAATTATTTTTTCAATTGTGATGTAATGAACAAATTTGAGCAATATATTATCAACCTTTGTATTTCTGTAAGAGCAGAAATTTAAAAAATTTCAAAGCAGTGTGGTAAATGCCAGTTTTAGGAAGCAGTAGAGAATGATAAAAGTTGACACATCTTTATACTCAAATAAACTTGACAAAAGTGCACGATGACTTTCTTGCAAAAAATTTTTGATCAGGATCGATCATCCTTGAAAGTCTCGATCAGTGTTAATAGAGATCATCGTTGAAAGTCTCGATCAGTGTCAATGACTTTATTTTTTAATTTCATACATTTAAGTTAACCTTGCCAAATATTTCGACCATCTTTTTTGATTACAGATTTCAGAATTTCACCTTTAAAATAGGGATTTTCTTGCTGATGTTGAGAATGTTGTGCTGATATTGCAGAGATGGAACGTTTACGGCGAGGTTCCTAAACCTCTTAGTATTCTTTACATTATTAATTTGAATTCTGTGAAATTTTGTAGTGCTTATTCAAAGTTTGACAATGTTTTCGAGAAAGCTCACTACATTATCTTCAACTTTCTAAATTGTAAACAGAAGTTTTGATAATTAGGATAACACATGCAAAATTTTAAATTTCAAATAATGTTAATTCAAATAAAACTGTTGGAAATATTGAATTTTGCTGAAAGTGAATTCGTTTGTGGAACTAATTATTGCAAAGGAACTCTGCGAACATTTGAATGATACAATAAGTTGGTGATTTGATAAAAACACACTAGTGCAAAATAATTTTAACATTTGTACTTACCAGTGATTCAGATTGCTTTTCATGGAATTTTTTAGCAATTAGAGTCTTGTGCAGCCCTTGATCGTTCAGAATACTCTGTAGACTTTCCTCCAGATCGTCCTCATCATCATTTCTTTTATCTGGACAGCTGGAATGCATCTACTTGCTAACTCTCTGAGTTTTATGTTTAGTCCTCAATGATCAGACATATTAGTTAATCATTTTCATATTATCATAAATACACTTCACATAAAATCTTCAAAAAGATCAAAACGTGACACAACTTGCACGAAGTTGCAGTGATGTCAGTTTCGCATTCGAAAATTTCTAGAACAGTTATCGCTGGTAATTAAAAAAATGGAGGGGTCAAAGCTCTTTTGTGCATCAATGTTTAACAGTTAGAACTGTTGTGAAAAAATAGAAACAGATTGCTACTGGTTGTATTATCAATTTTAGCGGATGCTATTATCATGCTTCTTGATTATCATCCTTCTCAATTAGCTATCAACGTTATCATCATTCCTAATTAGTTTTTCATTCATTAAAACAAAAACTACGGCATGTCTTATACAATATATATTTTAGCATTCAACCACACTAACAAGCAACCCTAAATGAATCACAAAAATATTGTCGTAGTTTTTGTTTTAAATGTGCATTTTCATTATATCTCTTTCAATGCGATAGTTACTTATACTTAGCGTAAAAACACGCTTACTCAAATCTTACTGTACTGCAGTCATACTTAGTAAAAAAGATGCTGGCAAATAGTGTCTTCATTGAATTAAGAAATTTTAGAAGGGATATAATTCAGAGTAGGTAAAACAATGGCAGTAGCGGAAGGCTATTCAACTTACTTAAACATGTGTTCTTGATCACAGATGCAAGTTTGGCTAGCTTGATAGTTACGTGAGAAGTCGGCACTATTTTCGAATTCTTCTAAACAGCCATCTGCCGCGGTATAGCCTATCGGACAAGGGTTTGGTGGTTCACAGTAAGACGGTAAAATATTATCACTTTTAACCTATAACTTCATGAATTTATTGTAACTTCTTTGTCCGCTAACTTTATTGTACTTTCTAGTTCATGCCTGACTGCCTATTCAAATTTCTGCAAAACGACGTGCATATTAAGGATGATGACGACAATAATAATAATGATGATAAAAATATTAATAATAAATAAGATTTTTTTGCGATTATTAAAAAAATAATATTATTACTCCAATGTAGAATAAATGCCGATAATCAAATTACCGTGATTAAGAGTCAAGTGAAAATTGAATTCAAAAGAATTAGATTATCGTTAGTAATTTTACTTGGATAGTTCATAGTTAAGACTTTAGCATCGAGCAGCTTTAATTAAATTAGTCTATTTAAAGCAGATACATGATAATTGTAATAGGAATAACAATAATAGTGCTTACAAAAGTAATGGGTAGAAGAGTTATGAGATTAGCAAGTTTTTCATTATAAGCATACATTTACGCATAACTTACCTTTTCTCGTTCTTCAAAATCCGATTCTGGTCGCAAAAGTTGCGCTCCTTCTCCAGCTCCACCTGAAACTGATCCAGATTTTAGTTTATCACATTTATATTTTAATGTGAATTTTTGGTATTTGTCAGCTTTTAATAAATTATCAGTTTTTTTACCATTTTTTGGTGAGTTATATCTTACAAAGGAAGAGATACCTGTCATATATTTGTGTCCAAAAGCCAATGGTCCTGGCATAGTCTCGATGTCACGACTCATTAAACCGATGAATTCTGGGAAATCCTGAAAGTAAAAGTGGAATTGTAACCGTTGTAAGTGTAGAAATTTAATTTTTCCATATTGATCAAAAAATTATTTGTTAACTAAAATGATTTTACTTAAAACTTGCTTTTTATCAAAACAAACCGATAATTTCAGTTTCAAGCAACCTAACAAATTCATGCTGCTTAATTTGAATTCAGAGAATTCACTCATTAAGACTTTGCTAAGAAATATCACAAGCAGTGAATGCTTACAAATACTGAGATCAAAGTAACTTTTACAGCACAAGTGACAAAGATTTACACCTGATGTGAAAGATTAATCCCATTAGAAGTAGCGAAGAACACAACAGTTATCCCAATTAACATAACTGCCATTGTAGGTTACAAAATTTAATACAGTTAAAGATGTCACAAAATGTATCAGACCGATAGAAGTAAGCGCAAGGCAACTAACTCAGCCTTAGTTAGTTGCGTCTAGTGAGGCCTAAGGCTGAATGAGCTAAGCCTTAGTATAGATAGACCTTACGCCACTGCAAGCATTAGTGCAAGAAGAAAGTCGATAACTGATGACATCAAAAGCCTGCTTGTTTCTTACACACTCTAAAATCAGAATACACTCACTCATAAAACTGCATCAATTTTATCATGGAAAATGATTAACAATTGACGTAAACAAATATTACGTAAAAATGTCGCATACGTGATTGAAATTTCCGTGGCTTCAAAATTCGAACAGAGATGTTATTGACATTTGCAAGTGATTTCAATTTTAATTCATTCTAATGATTCTAGTGGAAATTTTGTGAGTAAAATATGTAATCGATGTGCATACAAGCTACTAATTACTGCTTTTCAAACTGACTATGTTCATTTTCTCCTAGTCCACTCCTCGATTAGTTCTTTCATTGAAGATATCAATTCGAGTACTTACATTACTGCACTTACTTCAATCTTAAGTCTTAAGTCTTAAGTCTGAAAGTACGACAAGAAATGGACTTGACTAGAATCTTAGCTAGCATTCGGCACTTTTTTTTCTTCACGTTAATTTTTCATTACAAACAAAATTAAATTACTTTCATGAATCTTTTGCAAAATTATTATCACAAGAATCACAAGAATTTAACGAATTCTTCTGATTATCGATGAGCTATTTTTGTGATAATAATGTATCACTTTCAGTCGCCAATTTTTACTGCGGTTGAAGTTCAACTTTGCTTTAACTTACTTGAGTTACTCATAATCTCAAGTTTAGTTCAGTGGCTGCATGATAATTTTATAATCGCTCAATCTCTGACTTCTACTGTTTTGTTCAAAAGTCTGTGCGCCGCTGAAATGAGCAAAATCTAATATTTGCATATTTCTGCTTTCGAAAAAAAGAATTTGACCGATTTTGTTTCTTTTTTCGTAACAATGAATTTCACGCAGATAATGAAAATGAATTCAATGCTTTTTGATGTAAATTAAACCAAAATTTTACCTACTTAAATTGAAAAACGGAGAAATGACTGCGGTCATTATTGCGTGCATGAGCACGTTAAAATGCGTGTATCTGCTGAAGCCACGAGAAGAAACACTGAAAGCAAACTGAATCAATTTTTGATTAATACTAAATTTGCTTTAAATGAAAAACAAATTCTTCATTTGCCATCTCTGTTGTATGGTTTCAATTGCCATACCGTTTTCTAAGCTGAAATTAAATATTTCAAATTGCAAAGCTAGATTGATTGGCAAAGAATATACTTGCGTGCTAAGTAATTATGTTCATAAAAGGCTTGCTAACATTGTTGGTTTAAAGCAGCAATAATCTTCAACGCAAGACTTGCTAGGCCTTTTACATCTTACTTAGAGATTCAATACTTGAGATGCTCTCTAGGTAAGTATTGAATTACGTTTACCAAGCACAAACTAATTTCACCAAGGTACAATTGGACTAAGACATTTCTACGTTCTACGCAAGCAATTCATCTCTGATAATTCTTTATTTTCCTCATACATTATTAAATCATTTTGAATAAATTCTATAAATTCAGCAAACATTCCAGCAGCTTTAATTTTATTGATGTGGCAGAGTTTTTTGGTATGGATATTTGTACTGATAATGTCTTTGAGAATGAGTGCACAGATTTTTAAGGCATAAGTTCAGGTTTGATTGCTGGCTTTATTTCAAATCTATTCCTAAATACCATTGAAAGTTACAAATGCCAGTTTCTATTTCCAATTATATATTCGATTTTGCATCAATGTTATTTAAATAACTAATTTTATACACAAGTACTTATCTAAACCAAAAGTTCACTTTCGAAAATAAAATTTGTACTGCAAATAACTATAACACGTAATGCAATTTAAAACTTTATTACTTGTAATAATAATTTAAATTTTTAGGTCTGTTTGCTGAGATCATTGTTTTTCACAAAAATTGCTATTCAAAGCAATAAATATTCAAAATTCATGAGAAGATGCAAATTGCATAAATTTTTAGAATTTTTGACGAAATTTGAGCAAATTATTGAGATATGAAACATTTTATGCACACTTTTCACCTTCATTTTCCCCAAATCTTTTTCAAAAATGTGCATAGAAACGGTATAAAGTACTGAGAGTAATTGTTAAAAATATTTGCAGATAATTACAATTTCCCTCCTTACCAGTGCTATTCGTTTGCTGGAAAAAGACATTATTATTTTGGGAATTTCAAGGACGTCAAAAGTCAGTACGCAAATGACCTGAAACCTTTAGATGTCACCACATATGACTTGAAATATATCTGTGATGTTTTCATTTAGTCTTATTTGACAAATTCGAAGAGAGCAAAATTAGTTTGATGGATTATAATTGAGGTCTGTGGATAAGACATATATATTAATGAACGATAACTTTAGATTTTAGGAATGACCTTATTGTTCAGTTTTTTATTTTCCGTCGTCTTTAGGCAAAATGTCAGTAGTAAATATTTGAAGGAATTCATAGGGCGAATTCTATTTTACTCTGCTAGGAAACAGGTATTATTATACTACTACACAGATTATCAATACTACTGTTATATTTCAATGTGTGATAATTAATTTGTTGATAAATTAGTTTATCAAACAAAGATAAAGTTATTTCCCTAATTAATCATTGTATTGTTTTATTTTTTTATTTTTTTAAAGCTTTCAATATGATTATCTCTTGAAAAACTGCTCACAGCTGTTGTTCAACTTCCACAACATTTGCATAATTTATTCATTTGTGCATATTTTGAAAAATTTTAATTTTCTAAAAAATTTCAATATCACTGAGTAATTTTTCAGTTTTGTTTGATTTCCATCTTTGATTTATATTAAATTCTTTTCATTGCGAGACTTTTTATTCTATTTAATTTGCATACTATGAGATCAATACATCCTGGTGACAACTTTTCTGTCCATTTTTTAATTGTAATGAAAATTAAGCAGTGGTTAATCTTCATATCACAGCTTACTGATTGTTTGTGTGCATAAATTACTCCTCAATGCAAGTAATTCACTTTATGGTTTGTTTTCCACATAAATTTTTTGGAATTCGTTATTTTATTTTTGGAATATAAAAATCAAAACTACTAATTACGCATCGTTTTATAGCTGTTATTATTTTAATTTTTCCAGCCAATTACGTTTTTTTTTGTAAGCTACTTCACTTCTAACTTTGTGTTCTCTTACAGTTAAACAGTACCGTTTTAGAATACAAAAATTAACCCATTTAGATTTCTTCTTAATAAAAGTATATTTAATATATAAAAAGCTTTACTTCAGTACATTCTATACTATGTAAAATGTATTATTTTTGAGTGCTTATGCTGATTGAAATTGTGAACAAATTTTTGACGGCTTAAATTTTGATTGTAATGGGAATAAATAAAGAAAAGCGAGAATGTAAAAAGCAAAAATAATTTTTCTATGAAAATAAAATGAATTCTGAAAAACAATTAAAAGAATATGAAAATAACTCGTAGATTCAAATTTTTTGCATTCTATTCATGCGTGTACTTTCCAATCTTTTCATTATTACACCGAAAGGTACACTCATTTTTGATTTAAAATAAAAGTATTTAAGGATTGAATATTTTGATCTAGTTTTGTCAATGCTTTCTTTTTGCTTTATTTTATTTTTGATTCTCCACACGCTCTGAAAGTATTACTCTCGTAAGCAGCAAAATGATAAACTCACTCTTTAGACAGTTTGCTTCAGTCAAATGTCCAGCTAATAAAGTAATGTTACTTATACAGGTTCAGTACAGTTCTAATAATTTTGTAATATTTAGGTAGGACGTTTTCCTGCTCCAACCCTAAATAATCAACACTTTCAACTTGAATTGAATGGCATTTTTTGATCTGACATTTCATAAAAATTTCTAGTCTTCTTCACATTAAAGTTATTAATAATATGCAATGAGTAATAGTTTCTTTCAAACTTTTCGTCTAAGATAGCACTTTTTACACTTGAACTATTAATAATATATATTTTTTGATAGAAATGACCTAGTGAATACTTATTCATTAAAGTTTATGTTATTGCTTGATCTACTGCAAACCTGTTCTTGTTCCGCTGCTGAAGAATAATCACGTACGTATGATCGAAATTATTATTTCATTGTGGGACGCATTGCAATGATTTTAGGATTGAGAAAATTGTTTATCAATACTTATACTTACACGTATGCTCAGTTTTATTATCATCAATATTTACATGTTTGAAGTCTTGCATACAAACTATTAGTGAATTAGCACATAAATTAATAAATAAACAGCTAAGCTATTACAATATTCAAATATTTACTTAGTCATACTTTCCTTCATTCATCATTACTACGTACTGTTTTTGCCAGTTATTGTCAGCAGTGATATCGAGGCTAACCAGTTTTCAATTATAAATGAATTCCTGTCTATCTATCTGTCTATCTGTCTATCTATCTATGTATCTACATAGCCATCAGTTCATCTTACACAGTTATTCAAAAAAAGCTCTATTATTACTAATGGAATTAAATTCAAACTCAGTTCTATAATTCTAAATTCTTCAGTTGGTAATCTCCAATTCGGTTCTTCAATAACCTAATGTCTTAATGTCTTGTTGAAGTAATAATTATGATCACTACTTAATTACTGAATTACAGTTGCTTTCTATCATATTTGTTGTAAGTATTTTACAAAATTCCCAAACTGATTCTATGCTACAATTATCTGTGCACTGCAAATCAAAATTCATCGGCATAAAACTGCAAAATCCGAAAAATATAAATTATTTCAGCTTTTTTTGCATCGAGTACTTAGTCATAATAATTAGAGTGTAAACAATTGTTTTACTAAAAACATAGACACTTAATTATTGATTTATTTAGCTTTTTCTGTTACCAATAATCCTGAATCAAATTCTCTGCAGTTATGTCAAAGGTTAACAGAGTGCAGAAATCAAAAACTGGTTTTTTCTGCTCAGTTATGTATTTTATTATGATTTTATCATCATTATATGTGATGTTATCATGAATTATCCCTCCTCCTGTAGAGTTAATAGTTTGCTGATCACTGTCGTTCTCAATCAATTTTTGTAAATAGCAGTTGATCAATCGACGATCATATCACTTCTCCGTCATTTGCTGCCTTATCAATCATCAAGTAACCAAACTCGTCTCCATCGAGACCAAATCATTTCATCTTATTTCCTTCCATTACTAATTGATCTATTCTATGTATAACATTTTCATTCTCCCTGAAACTTTATTAATCCTTTTATGGCGTCAGTTTCTATTTTAATCTAAAAATTCTTGCGTAGATCATTCTATTACGCGTCATTTTCACATTCAATTTTGTAAATTGGCGTTTTTATTCTTCTTGAAGTCTTTTTTTGTGTTCATTTTTGCCCATAACATTGAATATTAGACTGAACATAATTAACCGTTGAAGCTTTCTTTAAATTTCTCCATTCATACTCAGTCTCATTATTACGTTGCTTTTGGATGTGTCTAAATAATATTATTATCTGAAAGTAAAAAAAGGATTTGTTTAATTTCCATACTGTCTACATACTAATCAAGACTAAGTCAAGACGCATATCATCACTGGAAAGTTATTATGATAGAGTTCTTTTTTTAATTACTAATAGCAAAAAATAAACTTGTGTGCTCAGTTACGATTAATTTTTACTAACTGAAATTTTGCTTTGCTTTGTTTGGTTTTTTGTAAAAACAATAATTTTATCAATATTTAAGCTGCACATTTTACGTTCACTTCAGTGTTAAAAAAAGATGAAAAATTAGTTTTTAATTAATTAATTCGTTTACTTTTGATAATTTTTTAATGTCTAATCAAAGTCGACAATTTATTTTAGTTAATTGCACAATGTCAACAATACTTTCATCGTCTTCTCCACAGACATTTTATCGAACTTTATTGCGTTTAACAGAACGAAAAAAGAAGCAAAAAGCAGAAGGCTTAACAAATAATCAGTCAAATAGCGATGAGACTGTTAGTGAATACAGTAGCAGTGCTAATATTAACAGTAATCTATCACAACAACAGCAACAGCAAGGAGTAATGGAGGAAACACAAGGAGCTTGCGAGGCGACGCAGCCCAAAAGGTTAGTAAAGTATTTTGTCGTTAGGTTTTTAATAAATTCCACGTTAAGTCACTTTTTTTTCCTTGAAATTCATTTACTTTCTACTCTCTTGCATGCATAGTATAAACTTATTGTATGGAAAGAATATTTGCTCACTTTGAGACTACTTAAGTAAATAATGAATTAATAAGAAACCTCGCGTGTTGGCATATCGTGAAATAATGTAATTAATTTTTTGCAAAAAGTATTCAAAATTATTAAAATGAACTAATTCATGCCTTTCTTTTGTCATTACTTGAATTTGATTAATTGTGAAGTTAAATAATTTCGCATTTGAATTCAAAGCAGGTTTTTAATACTTTTTTGTTCTCCAAAAAATCGCAATTTATTTGATAGCGTTCAAAATTTAAGTTCTTCAAAATTTTTAAATTGAAGCTAATTTTTCATCTAAATAGAAAATGAGTAAAGTATTTAGTCACGTGAATCTTTATTGATTTTATTAAACGTTTACTTTTCAGTTTAGTAAAAATTATTTGCACGCAAAGGTAATTGCTGTTGGAAAACAGGTTTTCATTCAGCATTGCATGTGCAAATATATGGTTGCTTTTTTTTCAAGCCCACTTTCTATTTCACGTGCATAGCATAGATTGTATGACCTGCATTTAAACTGCGTGATATACGTGTACTGATTGATCATCACATCTCCAAATTAGTTTATAAAAGCTTATGCAAGTGAACATTTGCCTGATTTGATTTTTGGAATGGAATGAGAACTACACTTAAAAATGAAGTAAACTACTTGCGTAACATTCACACAATTTAAAATTCCATCAAAATTGACGTTCATTGCAGTGCTCTATCGATAGCAATAAACTTGTTTAATTATTGCTCGCATTTTATCTATTTTATCTATTATTATTCGTGCTCATTCGTAAAGCTTTTATATTTACTTTTCACTTCAATTTATGAGACGAAAAATATTTCAAATTTTCAAAAGTTTTTCGTTTTTAAACTTTGGACCAATTGGTGTTCGATATTTTTCAAATATAATTGATTAAGTTTAGTGTAAACTTTTGTGTACATCTCAATTCTGTCTAATCATAAAGTAAGAGAGGCGTTCTTGAGGAAGAATGAAAAGTATTTGCTAGCATAAATAATTCAAATAAATATATTTTAGGTGAGAGGCAAAAACTTGTTTTAAAATGTTCATTAGAAAATAATCATTGCGCCGGGAATCACTTTCCGGCATTCAAGTACTGAACAAATGTTAGTGATAATTAGAATGACAGCTTGTTTGATACTCGAGAAAAGTAACGTTCATTACTTTAAAAAGAAGCAATACTGTAAATGTATGCATTTCTGATAATTGCATAACGCTGTAAGAGTTACGTTTCCTTTTCGTATTTTAAATAATTTTATAAACAGAACAGCAAATTAGGCCGGTCTTTTGATATTTCTCGTAGTATTAGCGTTGCAATCACAAGTATTGACGAAAGCTAAAAGGGAAAATTTGCTTTCACTTCAAGAATGCAAAATATTTATTTGGGAGCTGCTGTAATTGCTGCAATTAGCAATGTTTACACTTTTAAAAGTTTCAAAAGACAAAACTGACTTTTGTAAGACTTTTGGAGAGTGAAAAGTAACTCAAATACTTAAATAATTGAATACTCTTTTTGACATACTTTGCGTTTGTTTGCTATTTTCCAGTGCAATATTTTTTCAGCTTTTTTGCAGTTTGTTTTGAGACTAAAATCAGAGTTACAAATCAGAGAAATTCTTTTCGCTATGCAAAATATGTTCTTTTTTACAAATTTTTTTGCTGATAAAAAATGTTAAAATGCCATTTGCTACGCACTATTTTTTAGTTTTATTTTTGAAAAAAGTGTAGAAACTTGTTTTTAGAAATATTTTATATTTATAGAAGAAATTCTGTTCACTTTTTCAGTGCCATTTCTGTAGGGTCAAAGTTCTTGCATAAATTTTGATGCAATTTTTTGTCGCATTACAAATTGAGTCAAAATTTGATGGAAAAGTTAGTACTTAATGATGTTATTGTTTTTGTGATAACTCAAACTTTGTAGTGACAAATTCTTTTTTGAAAAAAGAACTCGCTAGTCAGAGATAGAATAAAATGAAATAAATTCTGTTCTAAAAATTAAAAAATATGCGTATTTTATAAATAGTATATATTATTAATACTATTCGTTGTTGAATTTTAATATCATATCGATTGTATGCGTTTGTTTTGCAAATCAATTTTTCACTTTTATTATTATAATAAATATTTGCAATGCTATTTATAGCGACAAATTGCGCATAAAACAAAAGTAAAATCAGTCTTTCTAAGATGGATTTGTTGTGATTAGCGAAGTAAAGTAAATGTTTAAAATTGTTGAAATATATTGAAAGAATGAATGTTCGTTTCAGAAACCCTCTGCTTTTTATAATACTAAAATAGCTTTTTCGAGAATTGTGAAGCAACGAAAGAAAGCTTTTAAGTATAAGTATGAAAAACAAAAATGCCTTAGAGGCATATTTTGAGGCATCAAAAATTTCAGCATCGAGAAACTTTTTTGCCTTGAATTTAGTTGCAAATAATATTATTTGATTGGGGGTGCTACTCAGGCACTTACTTCTGTTTGGTCTAAAAACATTTGTTCTAAAATTACTCTCATTATGCATTTTACTTGTTTGTGCACAGCAGTAGTATCTTCTTGCTCTTTGGAATTTATTTATTTACTTATTTGTTTAATGCAAATTTTCATGCATAAGCTCATGCTTACCATAGCTTAACTAATAATACTACATCTGAGACAGTTCTGTTCAGTCCGAAAGCACTGCAGGCATTTCTAGCAATCATTTGCATAATTAGCATCTATCATTCACATTTAGTTTGTATTGTTAGCAATATTTTCACATAAACACTCAGTACTGAAAGTTTGCTGACCACAGCACTCAAAAATATTACCCTGAATATTATTGAATTAATTTTTAGAATTGAATTTAAATAGTAAAATGAATTTGTAAATAGCGAAATAAAGGTGGTAATTTTGGATTAATTATATTTTTATTGGAGCGAATGAAGCAAATCTTGGAAAGTTCATAAGGAAGAAACTTTAGAACTTTAGCAGACGAAGAGAGGCCTACTTCCTTCCGGACTGATCTAAGCTTCTTCTACTTAATCTCGCTAGCTTTGCTTCCTTTTCACCCGCTGTACAAATTTTCACCATTTCCAATACTTTTTGCTTGATCTAAATCTGTCTTAGGGTAGATTAAGTCTCTCCCATGCTACTATCACCGCCTTTTACTATTTTTCATATCTCTGGAGAGTTAGTTATGAGGAAAGAATGATTCATTGAATTATTTTTATTTTGCCATCTAAGTATGGCATCTATGCTATCTGTGCTTTTTTTTGCTCAAATATGTATATTAATCATTTTGCATATTTGACTGGAAAAGCAACATGAAATCACTTTGCAATAATTAATCAAGGATTGAATAATAATATTTATTATTATCATTACTATTTATTATTATTATTATTATCAATTATAAAGATAATAGTAATTATTATGATACTGTAGCTGAAAATTGTTGCACATTTTGTTCATTAGTTTAAAATGTTTGTGCCATTTTTTCACAATAACAACTATAACTTTTTTATATTTTGTTGTTTGCTAATTTGTTTTAAGATCATTTGTTAATAATACTTGCAACTAACTTTTCTATCATTCTTAAACAAACCACTGCTAACTGTTTTGCATTGTCAATAATTTATCTATTTTCAAATCGTTTATTTCTCGTCTCTGTTCTTATTTTCGAGATAACAACTTTCACTTATTTACTACATTACATTTTTTGTATTTCTGACACTTATACTTACGTGTTTATTAAATTTTTACGTCACTTATACTTTGCATGCTTAAACACGCTTATTTTCGCATATTGAATTTGAATTTTTATTAATATGCATGATTTCATATTTGCTGCTCTTTAATTTTCAATTAATAACAATAATTATTATAAGATTGATATATTCAGTTTTAGTTTTTGAGTAATAAGGCGTCGTTTACGAGCTTGCGTTCAGTAATGGAAAGTTATTTGCTTTCAGGTTCTTTCAGCATATACTTAACCATCTATCTTCATGTCTTACTTTAATCATATTTTTCATATTACGATAATTATTTTACTTTCAAATAAATTTCTGACCCTTTAAAGCGAACAAAATTGGATCTATTTTGCCTTCTATTTTGAGTATAATAATTGCAGTACGATCAGCACACTTTTTGCACTGATCTTCTCCGAACAGTTAGTAGGAAATGTTTTCTGCTTATTTTGTTATTCATCTGATATAGATAGTCACACTGTATGCCACAGTACAAGCATTTATCTACTTTTATTCTTCACTGAGAATGATTTTATAAAGAACTTATTATTTTTTATAATTTATCGTAAATTGATAAATAGTAATTGAAAAAACTAACCGGATACCGTATGGCAGTGCGCTATTTGTATTTACTATAGATTTCTTTATTTGAAAAATTTACATTTTTAATTCAAATAAGTGCTTGATTTTCGTCTTTGCTGTTCCCTTAAATATATTTTTTACTTTTGCTAGTAAAATATTTGTTTAATTTTTTCAAAAATAATTTGTATGAATTGCTGCAAAACGAAAACTTTCATCAATTACACATTGTATTTTTTCATTGTTATTTAAAGATTCGCTTGATAACAATTATTCTGCAAATGTTATTTTTCTGCCCCATTTCTGTCAATGAATAATTCGAAAATTGTTTGATCTCCAATACTGTACTTAGAATCTCTGGACATCGCCATGTACATCCTAATTTGACAATCCCTTTCTTGTTTTCTTATAGGAATCAGATTTTTTATAAGTGCAATGTTTTACTTAGAATAAAAAAGATAATAATAAATAATGTTAAGTATAGTATTATTTTCATTATTCGATCTAGAGTGAAAAAACAATATTAATATTAATAAAAAAGGGAATGTGACCTATTTTAGACTTATTTGGGGCGTTATGGGGCCGTATTAAAAAATTAAACACTAATTGTATTTTATGTCATATTTTAAGACTTATTTATTTATACGTCAGGTTTTTTTTCTTTTCTAATTTTAGTAACGTTGTGCATCGCGGAATGGACAAAATCCGGCGTTCCGTTCGGGAATCATTTCGTCGACGAATGTCAAGACAACACATTGCAGGTGGAACTTCATCTACGAGGCATTCTCCAACCAGAACAACAGATTGCGCAAAGTCGGGTAAGGCAGAATTATGGCAACCTGATGAAGCGACTGTTCGAAATGGTACTTGCAGTTTTCATGTCAAGGTCAGGCTTTTTAACATTAATTTCGTTAATTTAAAATTAATTTCGAGTTTTACTTTTTATCATTATTGCATATTACGCAGGTATAATGTTATTGTACTCCTAAGAAAAAAATAAATGAATTTTGTTCCGTTTTTATTAATTTGTTCGTAAATATTTGAAATACTTCCTTATATTTTTTTGAATTTTTTTTCAGTATCTTGGTGGTATAGAAGTGTTTGAATCACGCGGGATGCAAATTTGTGAAGGCGCATTGAAGCTTTTGAAGGTGAGCTTGCTTAGGATTTATCTATAAAAAATAGACGCATTTAGAAGTCTGATAGCTTTAATGTCGTACTGTTTTTTAATGAATTTATGAATATTCATTTGATCAACAATTGAAAAACTTCCCTCAAGAGTTTTTGACATTGAGTATTAAAGCAAATAAATTTTGATTAAATAAACAGGTATTACAGGCAGATGTGATTGCAGTAGGATATTAATAGAACGGCGACTTTTTTTTTTGGTGCAGCGAATCATATTGATGTTTTGTTTATTTCATTAGATTTCCTTTTATCTCATTGTAATTAGTAATTAGTTAATATTGCATATTATGCAAAATTCAAGAGTTGCATTGGTAGGGACAACGGCGACGACCAATTAAAGCGATTTTATATGTTTCGGGTGATGGTTTACGAGTTGTCGATCAAGAAAGTAGTCGGGGTTTGATTGTTGATCAAACTATTGAGAAGGTTCTTATCTTCTTAAAAATGGGAATTTCGCTGAAGTGGATGCATTTTTTTTTGACAAATATAAGTTTATGTATACTTGTCAAAAAGAAATACATCCACTTATCATCTTTTATAATCTCGTATTTTTCTGTATATTTCTTTGTACAGATAAATGAGATAAAGTCTTTATTCAAGGCATTTTTAATTATGTAATTTAGGTTCTATTTTCCTTGACTTCTTGAGTTTAGAGTAGATTTTCGTGCCTGACTGTAATCATTTTTTATTTTTACATTTTGCTTTCAAAAACCATTATCAAATATATTATCATAGAATGGTCTTGTAAATCTTTTAAGTAACAATTTAAAAATGTAACATTTTTGAGGTGTCATTTTGTGCACCTGATCGCAGTAATGAAAAAGGATTTGCTTATATTTGTCGAGATGGAACATCAAGACGATGGATGTGTCATGGGTTTAATGCTACTAAAGAATCGGTAGATTTAAATGATTATTTTGTACTTTGCAGTCTTACGGTGTGGCTTCATGATTTGTGACTCTTTATTCTAATGTATGAAATAGTTTAATATTCAGTCTTAATTTCTTTTTTTAGGGTGAAAGATTGAGCCATGCTGTCGGATGTGCTTTTGCTATTTGTTTGGAGCGTAAAAAGAAGCGTGATATGGAGGCTGCTGCGGCAGTACAAGCTGCTGCAGGTTTATCATCTCCTGGCAGCGGAAAGCGAAGCAGTGTGGGATTCACGTTAAATGGAATTGTCCAACAAGCAGCTCTTTCGAACACGTCAGTTTATAAATCAAGTGTAACAAGTCAAATTATATAACTGTAAAGAGATGAATTTATTTTGCTTTTTTAATTCATTTAATCAGGCGTTGTAAGCAGATAAATTTTTAGTGTGCTAAGCACGGAATGTTATCTATAAGGTGTAGATTATCAACAACTTAGATTTAATGACTGGAGTTTTTTATAAGATTTCTTGTATCATTCACTCTATCATAAGCCTCAAATATAGGAATCCTAAACAGTAACACCTATATATCATTTTGAGCAAGCACTGTTGAAATAAAACTTTGGAATATTGCTAATAAGGAAAATAAGATGCGTGTATCTAGCTACTGTAGTATGATCTATAACATTCAAGCTACAGACTGGATTATATATTAATTCGAATCATACCCATCTTGCCTAAACAAATCTTACTTAGGCATTCTACTTGCATAAAATTTGATGTCCATAAAATGTATTTTCATTTCCAGTTCATTTGAGCGAAATACCAGTAATAATTCTTTCCGTCGATTATCAATTACTGAACGGCTCCAAGATCCTCAGACTGCTATTATACAGCAACCACCATCTGTTGCAACAAATCTCGCATCTGAATTACAGATTACGCCAAAGCCACGGCCGATTGGAAATCCATTGCTTTTTGAAAGACAGGTTCAGTAACTGCTGTGCTTTTTAACTGCTTCATTATCTCTTTTTTTTAGTATTTTCAGTTTGCAAGCATTAGATTCACTCTTACATTTGTAAATCTTCACGTAATTATTGATGTAAGAATTTCTACAGTTTAATTTTATTATTTTTAGTTAAAGTCTCCTTTTCTAGTCAGTTGTTACAAAATGATTATATATGCACATATGGTTTCAGGGATCATTGCGTGCTCCCACGTCACTCAGCACTTCTTCGTTTCGTAGACAGTTTTCACTTCGATCTTGTTCAGATTCTCCGATAAAAAGAGTTAGTTCAATGTTTTTATTACTTTCATGTTCAGCACTTTTTATATTGTCCAATATAATTATTTTAAAGCAACAGACGCTGTGCGTAACAACCATGGGCAAGAGTGAACCAATATTTGAAGATGATGAAGACAAAAATTGGTTGAATAGTAACAAACAGAATCAGGAAGGCTATTTTGAAAGTGCACCTTATAACCCTGTGAAGTACAGTGGAATTAGGTCCAGTTTACATATAAAATTTATATTTCTGTAGTAGTAATGTTTTCATCACAGTGTTTCTGGTCAATTATTATTCCACTTTCACTGAATATTTCAGGCAGTCGTTATCATATACGGCTGTGCCATCCACAAACACCGTTGATTCAAGTAACACTCGCGTTTGCAAATCGGTCAATTCTCCATTGCAAGTTTTAAGAAACTGGAAATCAAATATGAATAAATCCGAATCTTGGTGTGTTTTTTTTCATATCAGGAAAAGATTGCTAGTACAATTCCTGGTGTAGTTGCACACTTAAGGCACAAAGTAAGGAAAAACTCTACAGAAAAATTCGAACCAAATCTCAAGCAGTTTTGGTTTTGTCCATAGGTTTCAATTATGTTGACAAAATTGTGATTTTTTAATCTTTTATTGTAGTACTTTGTTAAAAAGATAAGGAAGCTTTTCGTTGTAGGTTGAGCAACCCAATTTCGATGTGCCCATCAACAGCAAAATCAAAAGCAGATGAGTGGTTAGAGCAGACTTTGCGTTCATCATTATCGTTGAGTTCACCGTATAAAAACATTTGTGAAATAGAGAAGATTAATCCTGTGATTGATAAAGGTTTTGTGTTGACAAATTTCTCCTTGTTTTGTTTAAGGAAACGAAAACAGTTTTTGATTACTTGTATTAGCTTTAGTGATTCATTGAATAATATATAACTCATCAGATGTTAGAAGCAAACCTTAGGAATTGTTGAGGTTAGCATTGTTGATTAGGAGAGTTTCTAATAAAAACTGTGTACTATATAGGGAATATCTGAAGTTTTCGGAGACACTCTTGTTAGTATTAAGTTTGTGATAAATATTTTTGTTTCACTGATTTTTCTTTAAAAAGTTCAGTGTGTAAAGTTAATATAACTTTAGATGTATCAAATCATCCGTTTCTGTCAATACCAGCCTCATCATCTTATCCTACTGTTACTCAAAGTGAAAAACAAACAACTGTGCATTTTAATAGCGATTTTTCACACTATCAACTTTCACCAATAACTGAAAACTCAGTGTCTTTCAGCAAGGTTGAATCTGATTTGAAGACAAAAGTATGAATTATCCACAATTTTCATGACGTGCTGTTATCAGTGCTTGATGCTTGAAAAATTTATATTTCGCTACAAATTAATATTAGGGTTGAGCTTAGTATAAAAAAGCTCTAAATGATATTTAGTGATTAATTAAATAAATGAATTACTAGGGTCATTTCATTAAAGATTCGATATTTCTTCTCATAGTTTCTCTCATTTTAAAAAACCCATTATTCTTAAATAATTTGATGTAAGTTTGAATAGTCCATAGTATTAATCACTTCTCTTTTTTCAGACCGTTCTACCATCGACGCTGACTGTAAATTCGGATGTGGACGTTTTTGGGCAGCCAGTATTCAGCCCTTCGTTTGCCAATCCTCATTTACAAGGTCATTAATCATTTTTCTTTGAGATTTAATTTGTAGTGAAAGTTGTTCATTAATATAAATGATATTTTTTAGTAAGTTCGTAGTTATTTATTTCAGCAAGGAATTCCTTTCGTTTCTGAAATAAATAATTCAGTAATTGTTATAATTTTTATTTTCACTGATCTGATTCACATCAAATTACTTTTAAAAAAATAATTTATGAAAAGTTATTGATTGTTTCATAGAATCATTTTTCTTTGTGAAATTATAAATTTTTATGTTTTTTATCTATTTCAGTTCTTTCAAGTTGCTTTTTTATAATTAAAATTGTTAGTAAAATCTAAAAATATGATTACAATTTTTTGGAATTGATTGAGTGAAACTTGAGAATTATATTTTGATTACATTTTTATTTCAAAACTGAACCGAATCTAAGCTTTTGCTTATAAGTCAGTCGAATTTACCCTCAGTATACATATTAAATTATACCTCTTTTTTTTGTACTACTGGCTTTGAAAAAAAAATAGTGATTTTCAGTTAAATCCGGTGAAACTGTAAATAATGAAAGAACTGAAAACGAAGAAAGTGATCCATTTGATGTGAGATGGTCTCAAATAGCAGTAGATACTGCAGCATCATACCATCCAGCTTCTTTTCGTTCAACGAATCCTTTTTATTCAGAATCAAGTGCTGTGAAAATTTGATTTGTCTGCTTCTTTGTTTATTCAGCTAATAGCAGTTGATTTTATTACGATCGTAAGAAAATTAAACGACCACTGTATATTCAAAAATACGGGGAAAAATATGATAATTTGAAATAGATATCAATTAGCATGTATATAAGAAACTGTTACTATCGCTGGGCTTTTTGAAATATATTGTTTAAAGTATTCACTATTTATGTTTAACGGGTACTACTGAATGCAGTGCTTTTTACATGTTTTTCACATATTGTAACAATTTATATATTTTGTCTGTTAGATAACAAAATAGTTACTTTTAGAAAGTTTGGAAGAATTTTTAAGGGTTAAATCTGTGAGTCAAGAATATTTACACTTAAAGACTTATCTAATAATTCGTATGTGAGAAAGTATCAGTGAAGTTGTTTTCTATTCGTTTCACTTTCTTATTAAATATCTTGCCTTTATTTGTCTTCTATTTGTTAGATGTGGAATGGGAAAAAAGATTATGTTGAAATGATAGTTTTGAATGTAACTTGTACCAGAAATATTATTTTTGCTAACCTGTGGAACTTAGGAATTATTAAATACTCCTGACAGTATTAGTTAAAATTCTGTTCAAAAATTTCCATGTAATGGCTATTAACGTTCCTGAGTTTTCGCAACCTCTGTGGCATATTTATTCTCAGTCAAACCTATATGGATAATTTTTTCCTGCTTTTTTATGATGAGATGACCATTACTTTATAAGAATATTTGTTTGGGTATAGTATCTGTCTACGTGCCACATTTTCCTGACGTTGTATTACTCTTCTTGCCAATATCATTTCGCACGTCAGCCGGTGATGCAAACTTTTCATGCTTTGATTCTGTTAACCAAACTTAAGAGGGATTTTAAGAATTTATCTTCATTATATTGAAGAGTTTGGAGCATTCACTTGTTGATATTACTGGTAATGAAAGGAAATTTTGTTGTTCTAATATCTTAATATCAGACCGCTGCAATATCCATTTGAATATATTGCTTGAAGCAAAGTTGCTGAATGAATTGCTTTTAATACCTGCCAGAAACTGGAGTGACTTGACAGATATCGATGAATTTAATAAAAATTTACTTGATGGAAAAAACCACAACAGAAGTAATTCATAGGTAGATATTGAATTGGATAACATTGCGTTGTTTGCTGTCAACAGTTAGATGTATGTCTGATGTAACAATTTTCAATTTGACTAGAAATTGTCAAGAGCAAAAGTAGTAATTGGAAGTATGAGTTTCTTTGTGAGAACTCTCGGCGACAAATCGTTCCACGTATGTATATATGAGTACCAACGTTTTTAGTTAATAATTAATTCTTTACGACTAGAAAAAATTGTCCATATCAGAGGAAATTTTGTCAAAGTTTCCTTTCATTACCAGTGGTATCAACAAGTGAATGCTTTAAACTCTTATAACTAAAGGAATTGTCATAATAATAATTAGTGAATTAAAAAAATATGCATAAATCGATGAAATCCTTTTAATCCAAATATTTTAATATCTTATTATTATTAAAGTGTTATTCTAATAATAGTAATGATTATTTGATAAATTCATGGACTGAAGTCTTTTTAGCTTGAATTAAATTGCTAGACGGTAGTAATTGAACTGGAGAAAAATCGGACTTAAATCGCGTATTTTGATCAGCTTAATTATAAGTAAATATAGATAAGTTTCAAAGGATACAGAACCACCTCCGACGTGCGTTAATTTCACGTTTTCGTCTAGCCATAATTAAAAGTATTTATCATTCTTGAAATTTATCAGAAGCATAAGTTTATGGTATAGTTTTTGTCTTTTGAAATTAATTTTTCACTTAAGTATTCTTATCTTACTTTTTCATAGTGTGACACGCGGTTTTCTTGCTGTCATACGTATGAATTATTTAAATTTAAATTTGTTGTGCAATTTTTGCATCATTAAGAAATAACTTTCCAGTAAAGTAATTTGAATAATTATATAAGGCGGTAATGAAGCAAATTTAGTGGCACTTATCATTTTATAAGTCGTCAGCCCTCTACTTCGGTATCATTAATAGTTTGAGTGTAATTGTGTGACACGCGGTTTTCTTGCTGTCATACGTCATCTGGGAGGGCACGTACTGAAGCAAAAGTAGTTTTTTCTGTATAGTATCATTATCTCTAGAAAGACGGAATAAATCTGCAGATCTCGTTAAAAGCAAACAATTTACATAAATTACTCGCTGACACTTTCGAACATTTTTTGTTTTTGGGCCATTTATTTTTTTCGTCTAGTAATCTCAAAAAACTGTAAATTTTCTTTTCCACTCTAACATTTTCAAAAATAACACAAATTTAGTGGGCAGAAAGAGAACAGTAAGGCGGCGATCAGCACTTCGCAGTGCCAGGAGGGGTATTTTTCCTTGGATAGTATTTATATTTTGCAATTAATTAATTTTTGGCAATAATAATAATAATAATAATAGCTTAAATAAGAAGCATTTTGAACAAAAAAGTTAATTTTGTAAATTACCATTTATCATCACTAGTGTGTTCATCACAATAGCTTTTCCTCGTTGCGAAAATACGATATTGCTAATTTCACAAATTATAAAGTTTCATTCGGATATTTCATTAAACAAACTATTAATGACTTTCGATTTGAGAATCTCTCAAATATCAAACTTAAAATTAATTCAAAAGATATTAAATTATGAAAATTACTGATCAGAAAGGTATGCAAAAAATTGTCTATTGTTTTCTAAATAATATGAAGCTTAATAAGTTTTGCCAAAACAAATAATGCAAGTTATTTTCTAGAACTTAGCGATGAGGATGGGACGCAGATGGAACGCGAAAGTCGTCCAGGCCGACGTCGAACTACCACTTTGCGCAGAGGAGTGGATAACAGGGATATGTTTAGTCAGATGAAGATTTTCTGTATAGCAGCCATTGAAACTGGAGTCCAAGTACAATTACTTGCTAGTAGTAGTAATATTCTAGAGTAGATGGTAATTTAATGATTAACCAAAACTACCGTAGTAAAAAGAGAAAATTTGCATAAAATTAAATTGAAGTAATCCTCTTGACAAAACGAAACTCATAAATTATGAATTAATGGTTCCCTTTCAAAATTTCCAATCATTTGTGTTCAATTTAGTAGCTTCAAATATACAAATGTATATTTGTTTTGCCTTTTTTGTTTGTTTTACAGTTTAATTTGCTAACCATTAAATTCCCTTTGATTGTTTGCAAAATTATTTGAAATAATTTGATAATTTTAATTTCAGCTATTGAATTCAATTTGTATGTTGTAGTAATATAGGAGCACAATTTTATTATTAATGTAAGATATGAATATAATATTCCTGGGGATAAATATTCTAGGGTTTGATGAAGGAGTTTAATCAAATACGAGCAAACAGCATACCACCAGCACAATTGGTAAAAACCGCATTCGACAGAAATCCAGAAAAAAACAGATACAAAGGTAATTAAATCACTGATCAAAATTTGTGATTAATATTTTGATTCAGGCTACAGTTATCACAATCTACCAGAAGTCATTACGTATTAAATTAAATTTTGATCAGTATTTATTTGTTCATTGTCGTATTATTATTAACAAAGTGAATATTTCTAGATGTATTCTGTGTTGATGAGACAAGAGTTGTATTGAATTATCCATCTCAAACAGAGGATTACATTCATGCAAACTGGGTTGATGTTGCATCAGTCAAACGTCGCTTTATTTGCACGCAGGTTGAATACCTAAAATTAACCTTTTCAAACTTTTATAAATTTTTTAGTTCTCAAAATTGTTTGCATTTAATCAAAAAAATATCTTCAGTGCTAGAGTAATAAAGTATAAATTTTTCACAAAGTCAAGTAAAGCATAACTTTTCTATCTAAATTGAATTTTTTTCGTGCCACGTTCAGCAGTTTAATGAAATAATTATGCGATTAAATAGTTATGATTGTTATTTTTCGTTATGAATATACAATAGTATAATAAATATATGTTTTTAAAGTATGCTAATAACTGTCATTACGATATATTTTAAGGCACCCAAGGAAAACACTGTGGATGATTTTTGGCGTATGGTATGGCAAGAAGGCTGTCGTTCAATAATTATGTTGTGTAACATCATTGAATGTGGCAAGAAGAAATGTGAACAGTACTGGCCGGCTGAAGAAGGCGAATCAGTCAGTAATTACTTTATTATAAGCTACTTTTCTTGTTATTATCAAAACGTAAATTTGTAGTAGTTTATAAAACTTGATCATCATGCAAGAAATATCATTCCTGAAAAAAAATACAATAAGCTAACTTGCAGAAACAATATGGAACAGTAAAAGTTACATGTAATCGAGTAGTTCAAGAAGAAAAAATGCTAACTATTAGCAATCTGATTATAACAACTGGAAGTAACAATGTGCTGATAGAGCACATCGCATGGAATGACTGGCCTGATCGTGGGGTCCCTAACAATTTCTTGGCTCCTTTTCGACTTTTACAACGGATTAAGAATCAAACTCATGTTGTGATCCATTGCTCAGCAGGTAGTTATATAATGCAGTTGTAAACTGTTTTTCTTAAGTTATTATATGCAAATCATTTATGAAATTTTTTACAATCAAATTCAATCTTTTACATTTTTTGCAAAACACTTCCCACTGTTAGTTTTATAATATTCACTACGATAAAATTGAAAGTTTAATAGATTTGTATATAATACAGAATAATGGATATTCTAATGGATTTGCTTGTGTTAGGAATCGGACGTACTGGCACAATCGTTGGCTTAGATGTAGCTGATACGATGTTCAACGATGGAATGAAGGTAAATATGCGCGATGTTGTTCGAGAACTTCGCCTTCAACGCCATGGTTCAGTACAAACCGACATTCAATATGTTTATATACATCGCTGTATTTTGGCCCTCTCAGAAAATCGCAAAGTTCGCATTTTATATCTCTTTATTTCCTGATTTTTCATATTTTTGTGTAAGTAAAAAGGTGTAACATCTACGAGCAACAATAGATTTAGTTAGTCTTTTTTGATGATTACATCTGTGTATGCTAACTGGCCTTTTTATTAATTTAATTGCTTATTATTTTTATTAAAGAAAATTATCAGACTTAGTTCTACAAAATGTGCGAGTAAAATAATATTTTGTTGCATTTCTTAAATACTGAAAAATTAGTTTTTTGTACGATAAATTAGAAATTCAAAACTACTGATGTTAGAGAGCAGCCACGATATATGAAAGAATAATTAATTAACGAATTTGTAATATCCCGGAGAATTGAATTATGATCTCCATTATCCTTAGAAGATGCATTATTGATTTATTTTAGGATCAAAACTATCAACTAAAATTAGTAATAAAAATTTTTTTTTAAATTGAAAATAGTTGAAATGCAAGCAGTTACAGACCTCTTTAGCACTTACATGTCTATTTAAATATACGATTAATACTGATTTTACTGCTGACACTTTGAAAATAATAACACAGGCAAGAACAAAAAACAAATTAGTGATAAAATTATAATAAATAAAAAACTAAATATAGAATTTTCAGCTTATTAAAAGGGATGAAATGTCAAGCTTTTTGAGAGATTTTGAAATACTCTCACGTGCGCGTGGAGGAACATCGACTCACCAGCCACCCAAATAAAATGCTAGAACTGCAACTCCAGTAATGATAACAAGCCCAAGAGTTTATCAAATAAGAACAAAAAAATGTACTAAAAATTACCCATTTCAATATCATCCCACCATCAGCCGTAATCTCGTAATTTGTGCCGCTACTATCAACTGATCCAATATTCATACTACTGATACTGAATACTGATTCTTGCTCATGGCTGAACCCATCTCTGTTGTTCATTTTACTAAACTTACTTGGAAAATATGTGAGCAAATTGTGCAAAATACAGTCATTACAAATGTATTCTTTTTTGACGCTTTTTACTGACAAAACTGTACTTTTAAATTCATTACTTTCAACTGTACTGAAAAAATTGTCTATTTTTATATCAAATAAAAACCATTTTAAATAAAATATCAAAATCATTGCTGTGCAGAAGTCACACTGAAAAGACCAGAATCATAGCAGACAAGTTTTTAAATCAATCCCTCAAGTTTGCACTGTCAAACTTTAAACGACAAGATAGCCCTCTGAAGTGTTCATAACTGTTTTGAACACCTGCTTAACTCAAATATTATTCAAAAACATTGCTTAAGGATGTACAGTTCTCGTGACGGGCAGTTAATGAAATATTGAAAGCACATATAAAAAGCTGAAATTCATATATTTTCATCAACAGTAAATGCGTACAAGTTATTGCAGATGAAAAATTTGAACAAAAGAAATAGTTCGTGGAACTGGGTAGTTGTTACTCGGAGGCTAATTACTTCTCATAACGAAAATGAAGTAGCCAAAATGGTTTAC